GGAAAACGGCTGTCCCTTCTGTGTTAGGACATGTGTGTTACTAAGACTCGTTGTAAAGAGGGGAAACCGTGTCTCTCGTACAAATGAAAAATGCATGCAGTCCCTCATTTTGGTCAACCCCAAGATTTTTATTTATATTAGAGATGCTAATAACATCACTGTACCACTCTTTTTTTTTTTTTTTTTGAGATTTTATTTATTCGACACAGAGATCACAAGTAGGCAGAGAGGCAGACAGAGAGAGGAGGAAGCAGGCTCCCCGTTGAGCAGAGAGCCCGATGCGGGGCTCGATCCCAGGACCCTGGGACCATGACCTGAGCCGAAGGCAGAGGCTCAACCCACTGAGCCACCCAGGCGCCCCTCCTTTTTTTTTTTTTTTTAAGATATTATTATTTATTTATTTGACAGTGAGAGAGACTGAATGAGTGGGGAGAAAGGGAGAGGGAGAAGCAGGCTCTCCACTGAGCAAGGAGCCCAGCTCGGGACTCGATCCCAGGATCCGGGGCACACGACCTGAGCTAAAGGCAGACGCTTAATAGCTGAGCCACCCAGGCCTCCCCTCACCAGTCACTCCTTAAGTTTTGGTTTCAAAGTTGAGAAAATCACTTAAAGCCATAAGGCTTTTTTTTTGGGTCTCCAAATAGGAATTTTCTTCAATAATTTTAATCTCAGAAATACAGAATTCATATCTCTCATTTACAATTACTTGGGTCACATATACAGTTTTTCATACCAAATCTTTATATGATTTACCGTGTTGTCTCTATTTAATTAAGAGGGTACTCATAATTTAACTTTGAGCTACCTCAAAGTAGTGACTGTGAATAATCAAAATTAAGAATTATTTTTGTTACTCGTCTTAGCTTCCTACTTTCTGTATCATTAGTATGAATATTAAAAGGACTCAGGCATTAAGGTGAGAACCGGTAAGAGGTCACAGCTAGCTCAAAGGAAAATTCAGAGAGCACACACCATGTAGAGAAACGACCAGGAATTCTGGAATGACTTTGTGAATAAATGCAGAGTCCCTTGCACTCTGCCAGACAGAATTCATGTGTGCTTCTGTAGATGAGAATTCTTTGCAATATCGTCTCTATTCTACGTTCTACAGAGTTTCAAGAGTCACTCTAAAACAAAGGAAGACTTAGCACAGAGGTACTAGACAGGAGACCCAGTAAGAAGCTTTCTTGTCCAATGTGAACACTTTCACACTTTCCTGACAATGCTCTTTCCATTCCTATTTCTTTTTCTTTTTTTTTTTAAGATTTTATTTACTTATTTGATAGATCACAAGTAGGCAGAGAGGCAGGCAGAGAGCTCGGGGGAACCAGGCTCCCCACTGAGCAGAGAGCCCTATGCGGGGCTCAATCCGAGGACCCTGAGATCATGACCTGAGCCAAAGGCACAGGCTTAACCCACGGAGCCCCCTAGGCACCCCTCCATTCCTGGTTCTTATTGTCTAATTTATCTGTCCTCTGAGACAGTGATGAGCTAATTTGTCACGCCGAATGATTTAATCTCTGTATTTTTAATGTGTTCCCTTACTATATTTTTAGCTGTGTTGTTTGACGCATATAGATTTCTGTTATGTTTTCATTATGTAAGTGGTACAGGTTCAATGTCCAAAATTTAGGAAATACAGAAAAGTATGAAGAAGAATTTCAAATCGTTTCTGATTCACACTGTCCTCACCACTGTTAATCATGTTAGTTTATTGCCTTATTACCTCTGAGCCTTTTTTGTTCCCCTGTGACTTTCTTCAATATACTTAATATCGTTCCGTGCACAAAAACTTTTTTTGCCTTTTTTCCATCTAATATTTTAGCAAATACTTTCCCCACGTTATTAAAACTGTCCAGGAGCATCTTTTTAAATATTCATATTTAAAGGTACTTACTGTTCTGCTCTTTGGGGCATATTAGAGTATTACCAGGTTTTTCTATTACAAATAGTACTGTAACCTTGGGACATAAACATTTACGCACATTTTGCAGGATTTCTTAAGGATGGGTGATCAAAAGTGAAATGACTGGGTCAAAACTTATGAGCAGTCCCCGGCTTGGGTATAGAGCAGAATTGCTTTAGGAAGTGGCTGCGTCCCTCTGAGACCCCATTGCCGTGTTTGTTTGTTTGTTTGTTTGTTTGTTTTTAAGATTTTATTTATTTGTGAGAGAGAGAAAGAAAGCACAAGCAGGGGGAGCAGCACGCAGAGGGAGAAGCAGGGTCCCTGCTGAGCAGGGAGCCCGATGCAGGACTCCATCCCAGGACCCTGGGATTGTGACCCTAGCGGCAGACAGATGCTCAACTGACTGAGCCCCGCAGCACCCCTCCACGGCCGTGCTAATAGCCATTTTCTCACCCATTGCATGAAGGTTCAGTAGAGCCCTGCCCTTGCTCTGCTAGATTTTGCCGTTATATCCTGACCCTCCTAACCTGTGGAATACCGTGTCTCTAAATCCCATCCTCGAGTCATACCACGACTTGTCCTGCTCATCTGACCAAATTTGGTGGCAGGATTTTTTTGCACAGGCTTGACATCGTTCATCTTCTGCTGCCGTTTTGGTTCAGAAGTGCCTCCGTGTGGCTCTCATTTCAAGTCTGGGACTGTGTGCTTACAAGAGGGAACTCAGGGTGCTTTCTTTTTTTTTTTTTTTTTAAGATTTTATTTATTTATTTGACAGAGATCACAAGCAGGCAGAGAGGCAGGCAGAGAGAAAGAGGGAGGAAGCAGGCTCCCCGCTGAGCAGAGAGCCCGACGTGGGGCTCGATCCCAGGCCCCTGGGATCATGACCTGAGCCGAAGGCAGAGGCTTTAACCCACTGAGCCACCCAGGTGCCCCACTTGTGCCCTCTTTATTGACATAATGCAGGGGGATCAAAATGAAGTGATGATGAATATTTTTATTTCCTGGCCTCTCTAACTTTAAATTTAATTGGACCATCACTGCTGCTACTTCTCACGACTTCCCCGATCACGAGTTCTTTCTCTGATTCGACCCTGGGTATTTCGAGGGGAAATTCCGAGGCGTGGCTGGCTGGAAAGGCGCTCATCTGGAAGCATTTCAGAGATATGCCGATTTCTGTGTCATGTGTCCGCCCGGTACAGAATCTTCAGATCTGATCCTTTCCTTCTGGAATCTGTGGATTTGGTGTCTTGGCTGAGGCATCAGTGGTGGTGGAGGAGAGATCTGAAAGGCTGCATTTTCACCCCTTTGGAAGATAACTGGTCTTTCTGGAATTCAGCTAGCCACTTCCACTCCTGGATCTTTGCAACCTCAGCCACAGATCTAGGTGCTTCTAACACACTTGCTGCAGCTCATTTTTCTGCCTGATGGTTTCTAGCGGGTTTTCTGTCTTTGCATGTAAGTTCTTACCCCATTATATCTTCATCCGGGGCCCGCTGATCCCTGGATTGAGAGCGCTTTCCGCCGTTGCAGGAGAAGGTAATCAGTCACTGAAACGCTTTAGGGGACCAGAGAGAGCCTTATCTACCTTCTGCCACAGAGTCATTCTCTGTCAGGGCTGGTCGCCGGTGTTGGCACAGGCCATCCCCCTCCACACACCTCCCTGCGTGTGCCTGCCCCTGCTCCCCTCACACCCCACGCCTGCCTCTGTTTCCCTCTCTGTCTCTAGCCATGCTTCCCTTGTGCACTCATTGCTAATTGATTTGCAGTCAGAGTGACAGATGGCTTAATTTGCTGTCCTTGAGAGCCCTGTCGTCCCTCGCCTTGCGGGGACTGGGCGGAATTCCGCGGTGCGGGCAGCTGCCTCCGGAGGGTGGGTCTTGGCTGAGGAGGCGGGAGAGGCGCACAGCGTTCCGGGGACCAGCGTCCCCAACCCGGTGCCCTTTGATCCCTTATCATCCTTGAGTGACCTGGCTAAGCCAGAACCTTCTCAGTTCCACCGTCAGCCCAGGAAGCCAGGGGGCTCTCCTCTGCATCCAGGAGCCTTGAGAAATGTCCTTGCGGCCGACTCTTGACAGAAGGGGCAATTGCGCCTCCCGCCACAGAGCAAAATCTGTGGAAACCCTCTTCCTCCTCCTCTCCCCACAGTGCTCTGCTCGTGGCCTCGGAGTCTCCGTCTCCCGGTTCCCCCCATACTCCCTGCCGCCCCCTCCTTCTGAGATGGAGTCTCCGGCCTTTCCCTGAGAGGGGCCTATTGAACCTCTCTGGTCGCTCTTGAGTCTTCTTCCGTTTCTCTGAGGAGCACACGGAGGCCCGGGAGCCCAAGGAATCGTCCTCGGAGGAGGGAGGGGGATGGGTTGTGTGTTCTCCGGGCATTATTCTTCCCTCTCAGCAAGAACATCAGGAACACCACCGGCAGTGAGCACACTCATCCCTGCTGGCCCGCACAGCGTCATCTTCACGACACTGTCCTCGTGCTCTTATCACCATCACTGCCACCACCACCACCGTCATCACCGCCACTACTGCCACCATGTGGTCACTGCCATCATCTTCATCACCATCCGCACCACCACCGTCTCCACCACCATCATCACGACCATCACCACCGTCGTTACCACCGCCACCACCGCCGTTGTCACTGCCGTCTTCGTCTCCACCAGCACCACCAACATCCCTGTCTTCACCGTGACACAGTACCGTCACTACCATCCGTGTTACCGGCGTCAGCTTCATCTTTATCACAGCAGCTGCTGGTCACTGAGCACTTGCTTTGGGACAGGCACGGCCCTGAGCGTGTTGTCCTTCAGTCCTCCAGATGACCTTGTGAGATAGATGCTAGGGTGACTCCTGTCATCGTCCCAGAGGGGAGGAGCCAGTGCATGGTGAAGCCAGGGCTCCGACCTCATCTCTAAGTCCATAGCCTGTGTCCTGACGCAGGAGCTCTACTGTCCCCCAGATGCAGGTGGCCCTGGGGTCCCCATTTCCTCCTGCGAGGCAGACACCAACCCCAGGGGCCCCCCCCCAGCTCTGTGCCAGACCCCACCCCAAGTTCCTTCAGTAACCCCTCTCCCATCTGTGCCCCTTCCCTCCACAGGTGTACGAGGGCGGGAGCAACGTGGACCAGTTTGTGACGCGCTTCCTTCTGAAGGAGACGGCCAATCAGATCCAGTCGCTGCTGAGCTCTGTGGAGAGCGCCGTGGAGGCCATCGAGGAGCAGACCAGCCAGATCCGGTGTGTCCCGGGCCTCCCCGGGTCCCCTGGGGCCGTGTCGCCCATGGCCACGGCATCTGCTGCTTGCTGGGGCCACGTGTGTGCTTGGGGGCTGGGGGGCCTTGGGCAAGGGGCTGCACCTCTCTGTGCCTCTATTTCCCCACCTGGAAAGTGGGGGCGATTCGATCCCTGCCTCTTCAGCGACATGAGCGTGGAATGAGGCGCTGTCCGCGCAGAGCACGGGGTTTGCGTGCGGGACCCGCACGCGCTGTGTACACGCGCGCGGAGTTAAGACCGTTTCCGAGAGCCTGACCAGTGTGCCACGTCCCTGGACCCCTCACTCAGGTTGTTCCCTAGGACTGTTCTATGATTTGCCTCGTTTTTGAAACCCGGAAGTAAATTCCGGAAACTACATGGTTGCCATCACTGAGAAGCTTCCATGAGCCGTCGGTGACGGGGCTCGAAAACCAGGCCCCTGAGATGCGGGGAAGCCCGAGGCCTGCCCTCCCCTCTGTCTGTTAGAAGGGGAGACTGGGGTCTCAGAGGCCTCAGAGAAAGAGTAGCAGCCCCAAACCCCCCGACTTTCTTTAAGGGAAGAGAAGTGCAGTGATTTCAGGCTGCGTTTTCATGTCAAAGTCAAGGATGAGCGTCTGTGTGGGGAAGGTGGCCCAGGGTCCAGAGAGGAGTCACTCTCCTTCCCCTGGGGGCCAGGAGCCCTCACATTTGCCGTCCCAAGTTGAGACACACCCCCCTTTCCAGAACAGCCGATGCATCTGGTGTGGAGGAGACATAAAGACAAACAGTGGAGAGGAGCCACAGTGGCTCACCGGGGCCAGGCTGTCAGTGGCTGTCCTGTGGGGGCTTCGAGCAACGTGATGTGTGGCTGGTGAGGGCTGGTCCCAGCTAGATAGGATTGCAAGAGCCGCTCAGGGACGCTGTTCCCCCAATGTGTGTGCTCTGGGCACCTGTGGGCACAGCACCTGGGAAATGTCAAGTGCAAGTGCCCGGCCCCCACCCGTGGCCCCTGCCCATGGCCCCTGCCCATGCCTGCTGGATTGGAGTCCGGGGTTGCTGAGCCCACCGCTCTGCCTCCGTCTGTGCTCAGCCCTGTGACTGGATGGGTCCCCAGAGCTCTGGAGGCTGACACGGAGCTTCCCTTCATTTCTGGGTCTGGATTCAAAGCTGCGTGTTGTCTCCCGCGGTAGGACAGGTGTTGGTGGGTGCTGCCGCGGGCTGATTCCCTGCTCTGTGCATGTCCCATCTTGTGTCACCAGCCCCATGCTGGGACTTCCTTTGGGACCTTGGTGGCAGAGGGAACCGTTTGTGAGGTTCATCTCGCATCTGGGGAGGCACATCTCCACATGCACTCCCCCACCTCGAACCATCCCGAATCTCCGCTAATTCGCCCCCGTGAGGCAGGTCCCCTTCGGCTCCCCTGTGCGGGTGCCAGCTACCGGTTCCCAGCCCGGGGCCCTGCGGGACTCCCCTGGTGCGCATTTGTGGTGTGACGGCCACGCTGAATTTGCTGCTGGTTTGTGGAGCGTCAGGATGGACACCTCAAAGACTCCGTCCGCCTTTCCCCTCCCGGAAGACTTGGGGTGGCCCTGCGTTACGGGGGCGTGGCTTGCGGAACTCTCGGGATCACAGGAGACAAAGTTTGGAATGTCCCAAGGCAGGAGGAGGCCCGGGACAGGGCGTGTTGGCCGCGTGCCCCGGGGTGTGTGTGCATCTCGGTGTATTTGCGGGTGTGGGGTGAGTGTCCTGGAGTCTCCGCACGTGGGTGTTTGGCCACTCCCCGAGCATTGGTCAAGCCCCCACTCCTGGGCCAGACACTGTTGGTGATGAGCTGCGTGTGCCCATCAGGGTATGCCAGGGCTCTGTGCCTCTGTGCCTGTGTGCATCGTTGTGCATGGGGCGGTAGACAGGGACGGGACGTGGGGCCTGGCTGAGGGCAGGAGCACTGATTTTTCTGTGCTGGTCTGTGCCCTCTCCGGACTCTGTCTTAGGGCCCCCGTTTTCAGAGAGGGGGCCTGTCGAGCTGGTACAGACCCAGGCTCCCTCCGCCCGACCCCAGTGAAGCAGGGAGAAGAAGCTGTCACTTCTGCTGTGGGGTGGGATCCTGGCTCAGTGTCAGCCGTGGAATGGACCCCGGCTTCCCTGGGCGCAGACCAGGGCTGGGTCATCCAGAATGCCTGCCAGCTGTGTGGTCTTCCAGAAGGCACCTGTCTGCGGGCCTCCTTTACTCCTCAGGAAACCAAGGCCATTATGGCAGCTTCACGGGAATGGGACCCCACCGGGTCACCTGTGCGCATTTCTGCTCACAACGGGTGCTTAGTGTTTGTCCAAGTGGCCAGGGTCCTGCAGCCTCCGTCATCAGTGTGTTTCCTCCACTCCAGCTGCAGACAGAACCACAGCAAAGCCAGCCACGGCGTGGTGGAGACCTGGTCCGGAAGCGCGGCGCCCCCCCACGCCCCCAGCGCCAAGCTGGGGGCCACAGAACAAGGGAAGAGTCTTCCATCTGGTGAGAGAGTGGCGCCCTGGGGTGGGGGACTCCGGCGGTGGCCCAGATACAGCCTGGGCCTCCAGACGGGACTGGGAGGGCTGAGAGCGCCTCACACTTCCCACAATCAGCCTCTCTGTTTCTTTTCCTTAGTCTCTGCAGACCCCAAGGAGGAGGGCCTGGAAGCCCAGATTAGCCGCTTGGCAGAGCTGATAGGACGGCTGGAGAGTAAGGTAAGCCCACCCTGCCGTCACCCTCTCCCCTGCATCCAGTGAGTGTAGGGTCAGGCCTGGAGTTCAGACAGGAGCCAGGGACCTTGGGCCAAGGGGGATGGGGGAACAGAGAACAAGACTAGGGGAAAGGTGTCCCTTGTACCGGCCCGAGGAGAGGTGCTAGGGGTGAGGGGGAGCTGTCACAGGGCTGGGGGCAGCCGGGAGGGGCGTCTCAGGGAGCAGGAAGGAGTCAGCAGGGGCCTGGATGGCCAGGCAACAAGGCTTCCTGTGGCTTTGCTGGAAGGTGGGCCTGGCCTGGGCAGGTGATGGCAAAAGGCGGTAGGTGAGGGACGGCAACATCCCAGAGGCGATTAGAAACATTCCAATGACCCAAGGCATTCATGACCTCTTTCAAATATGGTTCAGTACATCCACGGGTAATAAAAAAAAAAAAAAAAAGCGCAATCTACAGAATCCTGTCTTCCAAGAACATTTCACCGCTCAGTAGGTCCTCACAGTACAACCCACAGGAGCCGTCACGGGTACCGCAGGCAGGGCTTTGAGCCTGCAAGTCTCATGTGAGGCTGTGGGCGAGGCTGATGTCCTCTGAGGCCACTTAGCAGCTGTGTGACCCTGGGCCAGTGACGTACCCTCTCTGAGCCCCAGACTCAGAAGTATTCAGAGTAGTCCTCCCCCCAGCCTTGTTGTGAGGATGAAAGAAAATGAGGTCTTAACGCCTCCCCCGAGCGCCTCCCCCGGAGCCTGCCGTGCGGTGAGCATCTACTCTGAGCGGTTGTTTTTCGTCGTTACTGGATGTTCTGACACCAAAACCCAGACGCACGTGTCTGCTTGGGGGACCCCGGGTAGCCGCTCCCCGCGAGCTCAGTGGTTACAGCCATTGTACGTGTCTCCTGAGTCTCTGGATTTTTCACATCTTTGGCAAATGGGCAAAAAAGTACTTTGCTGTGTTTTGGGGTGAGGAGGAATCCGCGGGGCCGGAGCTCCCCGCGCAGAGGGAGGCGGAGGCCAGACCCGCCGGAGGGGAGCCTGAGGGCGGAGGCCGAGGTGGGATCCCCTCCCCGGAAAGCCTGCCGAGTGGGCGCGGTGGGAACGGCTCGGCAGGACCCTGAGGCCCGGTTGCCATAACAACTCGGCGGCGCCTCCGGAGGGAGGTGGTTTGAAGCTTATTTTTAGCACCCGGTCGCCTTAACAACCAGCTGGCTGGAGACCTCGGAGCACCTGGGTGTCCTGGAGACGGGGCGGGGCCCCTCCTGCCGGCCCCTGATTGGTCCAGGCCGCCAGCAGGAGCCAATCCGGGGTCGGCAGGGCGCCCCGCCCTCCGCGTTCCGCCTGCGCCTGGCCTCTGTGCCTGGGTGGGACTGATGGGGTGCTGGAGGGGGAGGGGCAGACGTGGTGCCCCCGCACCCCCGCCTCCAGGAGCCCGCCTCGGCGTTGTAAGGTGAGGGGCCAGGCACACCTTGGGCACCTGTAAAGCTCCTTGCAGCCCCGCGTTTCTGAGAAGTCGCACCTTCTGCAGGACCGGCTGCAGAAATGAGGCCATTTGGGGCACAGGCCTAAGGGGACATCCTGGAGAATTTCGGAGGTGGTGACCGCACAGATCACAGGCCCGACTACCACTGGCTGTTCTCCTGAGTAGCTGATATGTCTCACAGTTGTGTGTCCTCCACACAAGAGGAAGGACCCCGTGTCTGTGACACTGCGGGAGACACGGGCTGTCCTTGGAGGATGGACGAGAGCAGGCGCAGAGATGGCCTTAGTGGGGTGCGCAAGTTGGAGAGGAATCAGGAGTCTGTGGGTCGGGAGGTGAGAGACCCTGGCTTCGAACCCAGTTTCTACCAGTCACGCAGGTTTCGTGGCCTTCGGAGCCAGGGTTCTTGGCTCTGAGACAGCGGGAACATGCTTCGGGTTCTGTGTTCTAGACCCGGGCACAGGATCGTGAGCCGTGTGCTCGCGGTTCCTGCTTTCTTGGGGCTCGTGGGGGCGGGGGCAGTGTCTTCCTCAGACAGTCTGGACGGTTCAGCAAGATGTGTTTGTAAAGCATCTAGTTCAAGGCCTGTGGGAGGCCAGGGTGATAGACCAGCCCATGGAGAGCGTTAGTTTCACGAGGCGCCGGGGGTTAGGACTCGGGGTGATTGGTATGTTGATGGGGAACCTCAGGGCTTTGCCAGCAGCTGTGGCAAAAACCCAGCATCCTGGATTGAGTTTCAAGCCCCCATGGCTGCATGTCCCCAAAGGACCCTCCCCTGCTGGCAGAATGCCCCCTGGGTAGATCTGGTTGCCCTCTGTGCCTCCTAGTGCTCCCACATGCCAAGGACAAAGGGCTCTCGGCCGCTGTGCAGCCTGTCGCCCAGCCTGGCTTCCCAGCTTCCCTCAGAGCCAGCACTGTGTATGGACCGAGCTCCATCTAGCCGCCTGGGGACTCCAGAGCCCCTGGAACCATGGGGTGGGGAAGCTGGAGCTCTTGGATGGCTCTCACTGTGGTAGTCCTGGAGGCCTCCTTAGGGGAGGTGCCCTTTGTCTCCAACACATCTTTGTATGTTTTGGTTTCAGACCCTTTGGTTTGATCTTCAGCAGCGCCTCTCGGATGAAGAAGGCACCAACATGGTGAGGCCTGGTCCCTTCCCGCCCCCTCCTGCGGCCCCATCCCTGCCGGAGCCCGGCCTCGATGCTGGCGGCTCCGTGTCCTTGACACCCCTGCCCCGGCACCGCCACCAGGGGAGATGCGGCCCCAGCTCCTGGTCACCCAGCCCTCCCAGGGGTGTTTTTTTGTTCAGAAACAGTTTGGCTCAGAGCAAAGTGACAATCACAGTGACGGACTGAGCAGGCATGAATTGTGCCGGGCCTGTGGATGTTGCCTCTCGGACCAGAGTGCCTTGCAGGCGGCTCCTGACGTCCCTAGAGCCTCTGTGAACACCCTTCTCAGGCATCCCACATTGGCGGGGCTGCTGTCAGCTTGGGGCTCTTCAGTCCTCGCTCCCGTTAGCCCGTTTTCCTGTGTAAGCGCGAAGGGCGCGTGTGTACCTGTGAGGTTTCTCTGGTTTTACGTTGGCCGAGTTGTCTGAGCTCTCTGCGGGAGGGTCTGGGGAGGCCAGGTCTTGGGCTGTGCCCCGGGGGCAGGAGGGGTCCCGGGGGAACAGAGGGGCCGAGGGGCCCAGCTGGCCTGCGGGCACCCACCCTCACCCCTCTCTGTGGCCCCCAGCACCTGCAGCTGGTCCGGCAGGAGATGGCCGTGTGCCCCGAACAGCTGAGCGAGTTCGTGGACTCCCTGCGCCAGTACCTCCGCGGCACTGCTGGGGCCGGGAGCTGCTTCCAGTGAGTGGGGCTGGGGCTGGAGGGCCGGGCTCCCCCGAGGTCAGACCGTGCCCCAGGGAGGCCCCTGGGCTTCCGGCTTTGCCCCAACGCATAAAGTAGCTGGGACTCCGGCTCCTAGGCTTCCACTTCGTCGTTGTCCCTGGGGTTGCTGGAGGGGACAGTGGAGGAGGGGATGTGCGGGGCTTACTGGGCCAGTGGCCGGGGCAGCCTGTATTCCCTCCGAGCGCGTGGCCACCCCCTGGGGCCTCACCCTCTGCTCCCTGCTGCAGCCTTGGCTTTGCTGGTGGCACTGTGTGAGGGCTGCGGCCCGGGTCCCCGGGCTCTCACATGCCTGGTCTCGTGCCCACCGGGGAGCAGCCTCTTTCCCTGCTTCTATCCTGGGATTGCTGGGAACTGTACAGGGAATGCCACCCCTGACAGAGAACTCCTCCTGGGGGATGCTTGGGGTTCTGTTCTGCGGAGCCAGAGAGCAGCTGGGAGGGGGGCCAGATCAGGATGGGGCTGGAGAGGGCGGAATCTGGCGGAATCTGAGCACCTCGCCCCCTCCCTGCTGGGTCAGCCACACTCCGGGAGGCAGCCCCCTGCCTCTGCCCCTGGCCCCAGGTACAATCAGCCCTGCTGAAGGGGAGGAAGGAGGCCTGGCAGGCCCTGGACCCCACGCAGGCCTTCCCCCAGCCACTGTTGGGCCCATTCCAACTCACAAGAGTGTTTTAAGGATTAAGTGAAACCATTCTAGAGGAGAGCGTGGCCAGAGAAAGATGCTTTTATTTTTAAAGGTAAGGTTTTTAAATGAATAGAAACCCTTTTAAAGCATCATTGTTTGGTAATGCATCTGGTGAGTATCCTTGGTCTCTGAAGGGCTGGGCCCTGTGGTGGGGGCGGAGGGACACCCCTGAACCAAACAGTCGGGAGAGCAGGTGCTGGGGGCCCCTCCCACCTCCTGCCAGTCGCGGGGCGGGGGGGGGGCCTGCCTTGAGGGGGACAGTCGGACAGCCCCCTAACTGGTGCTTCTCTTTTAGCATTGCGGCCGTGAGGCTGGCTGATGGCTTCACCTTCGTGGTCTATGAGTTCTGGGAGACGGAGGAGGAGTGGAGGAGGTGAGCAGGCCTCGAGCCCAGGCAGTCCCCCACCCTCAGCGCCCCTGGAGGGGAAGGCAGGGTCTTGATGAGCACCCGTCCATGTGGCATCGGCCCACAGGGTGCTGGCTTTACTGGGCCGACTGGGGCCCTAACTGCCCTAACCAGCTGGGCTCCGAACCCAGGTCCCTGGCCAGCCTGGAAGCCGAGGTGAAGTCTGTTGCCGTCTGAGAACTGTGACTCCAGGGACTCAAACCCCAGCAAGTTCTTGGATTAAGAACACCCGGTGGGAACCTGGGTGGCTCAGCTAGTTAAGGACGCCCCGCGGGAGGCCGGAGCCCAGCCTGCCCCTCCCTGCTCCAAGGCCGTAGCATTCGGCGGCCCTGAGGCTGGGCCTTGTTTCTTTAAGCACCTAGTGTGGCTGAGGAGGAGGAAAGCCCCCCAACCCCGCAGAGCCAGGATTAGAGATCTGCGCCCCCACTCCCGGGCTGGAGGCTCCCCCAGCCCACCCCCTGTCCTCGTCCCGCAGGCACCTGCAGAGCCCCGTGTGCAAGGCGTTCCGGCACGTCAAGGTGGACACGCTGAGTCAGCCTGAGGCCCTCTCCAGGATCCTGGTGCCAGGTAGACGGAAGGGGGTGTGCAGCGGGTCCTAGAAGCCGGAGCCCAGGGGTGTGAGAGTTAGGCTAGCCCCTGAGAGGGGACTGGGCCGCCGGAGACGGAAAGAACCGTGCAGCCTCTTGACCCCAGAGGGCGCTGTAGCAGGGGCAGGGCCTGGAGGCGGGGAGGTGCTTCCCAGCCCTCCGGGCCCAGGACGACTGGGCTGCCCTTCCCGACCCCCTGCTTTGCTCCTTGTCTCTGTCCCGCCTCACAGCTGCTTGGTGTACTGTGGGCCGCGACTGACCACGTCCCTGAGGCCTTTGGATCCGCCTGCCCCTCTGCCCACTCTTTTCTAGAAACTTTGGTACACAAGTTGTCTTTTCACTGTACTTCAGACAAGAATGTATTCTCCCTGTTTGCCGTGAAAGAGCAGCCCCTTCCCCAAATCCCCGCCCTCCCTTAGCGGCTGCCGTGGCTGGGGAACAGCAGGCACAGGGAGGCGTCCTGGGACCAGCACCTCCCCCAGCCCGGCCCAGTGGCCACGCATGACCCCCCACCCAACCCCCAGCCTCATGGGCCTGGGGGACACCCTGCCCAGGTAGGAGCCGCGCCCCTGTAGTGCCCCACTCGGCCTGGGCCCTGCCGCGTCAGACTGGAGCGCCCCCGTAGCCAGTGCCTGCTCGGCAGTCCGGCACCAATAAACGCTGGCTGGGAACGGCGGTGTGCTGGTTTTCTTTCGAATCTTCTAGCGGACAGCCGCGGGATGCACAAAGCAGTCATGGTGCGTGGGGTCCCTTGCGAACCGTGAAACCTTGACCCCATCACCCCAAAGTCTGTTTCCTTACCTGGAACACGGAGCTGATCGATTTGAGGTGCGTCTGACGGACAAGGCCGTGCCCGCTCCGAAGTCCTGGGAGGCCCCGGGCGCTCCCCTCGGGCCTAGGGGTTCACGACAAGGACTCGTGGAACTCAGCGGAGCCAGTTCACTCCGCTGCGGATTCCGGCACGACACAAGGGGACAGACAGACTAAAGTCAGCAGCAGGAGGACCGGGCCCAGAGCTCACAAGCCTCCGCCCGCTGTCTCCCCGCACTGACCTGTGACGACGGGCACAGTCCTGCTCTCCAGAGCCTGGGCGATGGGGGCCCAGCCCTGCCGCGTGCTGACTTCGCCTCCAGCCTCCTGCAGTCAAGCGGAAACCTCCAGGTCGGAGGCCGCCAAGTAAACCAAGGTTTGAGATCAGGACATTCTAGAGCTCCCCTCCCAGCAGCCGAAGTCCGAGGGCACGTGGCTCCGGGCGCCGTGGACCCTTCACTGCACACCTGTAAGAGAGCTATTCCAACAAGACTCGAGACTTACATTATTTCAAGTCCTGTTCTGGAACCTCTTTAACGCCCCCACTCTGTGTCCCTGTCCTGGGAGCAGTCAGACACAGGAACCCCAAGGGACCAGGAAAGAGAGGTCCTCAGCCAGGGCAACTGTGTGTCGGTGGGGCCTGGTGGGAGTTCTGGGGCCACGGAGGCGCCCAGAGCGGCCAGCCTGGGACATGGCGACGAGAGGACAGTGGTCACTGCCACGTGGGGCTGCTGGGAGCCGTAAGGCCCCTGCTCCCTCCCCCCTTGGGTCCTGCCACCTCCTGACAGGGGTGGATGCTGGCCCTTCAGGCACACCCAGTGACCCACAAGGTGGGCTTCCGGGAAACGTAAAAAGCAAGTTCCAACCCCGGCTACGTACCTCCCAGCAGCACTTCCCTGCAGCCAGCCTCCCTGAGCCCCCGTTTCCTCATCCGTGAAGCGGGAGAATACCCTTCCTTGAGGACCGGAACTGCTACTCCTGAGAGTGGCATGTAACGGGGTCCCGCCCACAGCATCCACAAGCACCCCCAAAGCCAGTGCTGCTCCCATCAGCTCCGCGGTTTTACAAAGATTCTCGGGGCTGAGGCTCCTTGGGGTACAGCTGAGGAATCCCACGAGCTGGGCGCTCCCCTCGTCCTGCCCGCTGGCCCGAGCACTGCGCCCAGACTGTAGCATCTCTGCTGACGGCAGCTTGAGCTCGCGGAGCCTCAGTGGATTCTGAGTAGGTGGGAACAGGCTCCGGGGAGAACAGATTTCAACCCTGAAAGTTACCAGAGCACCCACTGAATTTACACTTCACGGCCAGGCACGCAGACACCATCTCCCTTAATGCCGCCTGGGCCATCCTAGGATCGGCAGGCTCCCGGCGGGGGGTGGGGAGCATGTAAACAGAGAGGGCAAGCAACTCACCAGAGGTCACACAGCAAGCTAAGGGCACCACTTACATCCCAACCCAGAGCTACCTGTCCCCAGCCTGGTGCCCAAGCCCCTGTGCCACTCAGCACAGACACGTGGGAACAGCTCTAGGCTGGGTCATTAAGACATCGATCAGGTTACTCTAGGAGCTGGCCAGCCCATTCCTAGGTCTACCCTACGCCCCCAGACGACTAAGGAGACACATGTGAGCTCCGAAGGCCGTCAGCGGGTGGACAGACCACGTGGGCTTCAGCCACAGAAAGGAACACAGTATGGACCCCTGCACATCACAAATAACCCGTGAAAACACAAAGCCACATGCACGGGACCAGCCACGGAGGGATCTAGCGTGTGATCCCATTCACGCGGAACATCTAGAATAGTGTCGTCTATAGGCACGGAGAGGAGATTAGGGGTTTCTGGGCTGGGGTCCGAGGGAGGAGGGAGTGACGGGGTTTCCTGCTGGGGTGACAGGAGTGTTTGGGAACCAGGCGGAGGTGTCTACCCATCACTGCAGTAACTGAATCGTACACCTACGGCGGTTCCTTCGGTGTGACATCAAGCTGACCTCCGCGCCGCCCCTCCCCAAACCCCCATCAGCTCACGTGTCCACATCAAGAAGGTCCCCACCTGCGTTCAGTGGCCGATCCACGTTCTCACCGTGTCCAGTTCCACACCCGAGCCTCCCGTTGGGGGTGTGTGGAGGCCAGCCTGTGTGGAAGGAGGGGAGCTGCTCAGGCCCTGGTAGCACCTGGGGCTGGTGTCCCTGCCCAGCTATGGGGGCGCACCTGAGCCGGGGAAACACTGTTCTCAGAGCCCCCTGCCGCCCACGCCACTCGGAGCAGAACTCATCACCTGTGACAGAAAACCTCCCTTGGCCACGTCTGCAGGATTATTTGAGACATGTGTCTACCCTCATGCACAGCAGTTACCGTGGCCCGTGACAGGCCAGCCTCTGTGCCGACGGCGTTACGGGGAGGTCTCAGCGCACACTCCCCGCTAACCTGGGGTGGGAGAGGGGCCGTTCTTAGTTTGGTTTTAGAGGACAGCAAGGAAGCAAACTGCGGACCACAAGGGAGAAGAGAGGCGGTGGCTGCTGACCTACAGAGAAAGGACGCCGTGGCTGACAATGGCACAGCGGATGTTTGCCTGGGATAGCGACCTGAGGCCACGGGCTAGCCAAGGCTGCCACCGCTGCTCGACGGCAGGCAGGACGGGCTCAGATCTTTCCGACCCAGAGCCCACCCAAAGCCCTACATGATGCCACCATGACCTTGAGGACACGGCTTCTGCCCTATCCCCTGTTGGGTGGGCATCACCCTTCAAGGGTCCTACCCTCTCCCACTCTCCTCTCCCCCAGCATGCAGTACCAGTCCGCTGCCCCCTGACGTGCCGTCCTGCTTTGGGTGGGCCCTAGCACCCTACTTCCCTTTCTGCTCGGCTGCCAGGAAGCTCTGTGTTCACCTCCTCTCAACCTAGGTTCTCTGGAAATAAAGCGACCGTGGCTCAGGTCCCCCTACCGCTGCTGTAGACACACCATCACCTCTGAATCTCACGGGGAGCCCGCCGGGCTGCTCAATGTGGCCAGTGGGGAATCAGACTCCCACAGGCGGTTCATAAACTCCCCAGATCTGAGTGAGCAAACGGCAGGAGCCAGTGTTCAAAAGCAACATTCCGAGCCCAAAGCCAGGCCTCACGGTGCCCCCTTCAATGGCCCTACCCTTTCCCTACCACACTCTGTCCTTCCTGGGGACTCCATGAACCCTGGAGGGCTTAAGCCCGACCGCAGCATTTCTAGAAGCACGTGGGACAGAGGATCAAGGACTCCACTGGCTGGTGCCTATGGGGGGCGGCTCTGCCGCAGTCCACGGCCTGGCTCTGAGGCCCTCATCTGGGGTGGGGGGCGGGGGGGGGCGCTGCAGCCACCGGACAGAGGGTATGGCAGGGTGTGGAGCTAGCCCCCCTCACTGGGTCAGAGTCTACACCCATGGCCAGGGCAGAGGAGGGCAGAGGGGAGCCGGGACTCTGCCGAGCCTCAGTGCCTCACCTGTAAAATGGACGAATTTGAAAACACACTGAAGTCAAAGGAGCCAGACACGAAGGCTGCTCACAGAGTGTCCGGAAGCAGCAGGTCCATGGAGACGGCAGCCTCATGCTCCCCGGGGCCAGGCAGGGACTGCTGGTGGCACAGGTTTCTCTGGGGGGGATGAGATACACCGGAATTCGACGCTGGCGACAGTGGTACGACCCCAGGCACCAGCTTCCACTGAACAGTACACTCCACGAGGCTGAACCTTATGGTGTGTGAGTTCTACCACAAAAAAGTGAATGCAAGTAGGCGGTATGGAAAAAAAAAAAAAAAAAAAATCCAGTTGTATCCCCACTAGCCACACGGGCAGGAACACATTACTCACCACCACCATCTCCTGGCTCCAGCACCGCTGCTTCCGGCCGACGTCCCAAGGCAGAGGAAGAGTGGCCCAGATCCAGTGACAGCCCAGACACCCCAGGTCCCATGCAGGGTCAGTGCCAATGAGCACAGTGACAGGAGCAGCTGAGCCCCTGGCTGCCTCCCTCCCCACCCTCTCCCCTACCCTGGGCCCAGGGCTGACCCCCAGGGCCCCTTGTCCCCAGCTGCAGGTATAACCCTGACCCCAGGACTGGCTGGGGTTGGGAAGGAAGGACAGAGCCAACAGTCCACTGGGCTCCCAGGCTCTTCAGGTCCAGCCGGAAGGGAAAGGGGGCTCTCCTCGGGGTCCTCCCATCAGAGTGGGGGCCAAAGCTGAGGTCCCTGGGCCTCAGCCCCAACTTCTGGTCTGAACTGTATCCCCTGGAGATGGTGAGTGGAAGTCCCGACTCTGGGGACTTGTGACCGTGACTTCTTTGCAGCCCCTAAGTTCAGGAGAGGTCACCCTGCACTAGGGTGGTTCAGAGCCAGTGACTGGTGTCCTTGTCAGAGGAGAGAACTCTGGACAGACACGCAGGGCGGATACCATGTCGGGGGCGGGGAGCCGAGGCGAACGGGGTGTACCTACAGGCCAAGACATGCCCAGGATGGCCAGCAACACCAGCGGCTGGAGGAGGCTGGAGGCGGGAGGGCTCACCGAGAGCCCTCAGAGGGAGCACGGCCTTGCCCAGGCCTCGATCTCAGACCCCAGGCCCCGGGACTGCGGGGATCGATGGCTGCTGTCTGAGGCCCCCAGCACGTGGCCTTCTGTTAGGGGAGTCCCAGGACATCAATACACCCTCCTCGGCACCGCACCTGAAATCCTCCGAACCCACAGAAGCCCAAATGAGCACCCTCAGAAGACAGGACGCATCCGTTTCTGCAGCATCTTTATGATGGAAGGACAGGGGTGCCGCACCAGCGCCGCGTGGAGGCCGGGCCGACCCCTCCCGCTCAGAAGAGTTCCAAGGCCGTGGCCACCGTGCTCTGCCCGAAGATGAAGGTGCCCACGAGCACGGAGACCACTCCCCACACCTCCAAGCAGCACCTGCCAGGTCAGTACACACACACGTCAACGCGCTCTTCCCTGGACCTCCGCACAGACAGGCCGAGCACTCGGCAGAAAGCTCATCACAGGAAGCCCGCCGAGTCACCAGTGCGGGGTGGGCGCGGGCGGACTCCACAGTATTCTCCCTCACCTGCTGGAGTGGGTTTCCAAGGCAATGGGGGATAATGGCCCCAGGCAATTAAAACCTCACACTGCAACTGTTAACTGATGACTCCATTCCTCCCTAGCGTTTTATCAAAGCCAAAGAAATGGGGGAGGGAGAGCCCTTTCCACTCCTTTCCCTTTGGGAGCAAGGGAAGAGGGGGATGAAGACCCCTGGAAATGAAGGAGAAGCCACCCCAAAGTCACCCGCGATGGGGACAGTGGGTGGGGCACGAGGGGACAGGAGACGGGGGTGTTCGGCCCCAGTGACCCGAGGACACGTCTGGGAGCTTCATCATGTACCAGCCAACACCGCATCGACAAGGAGCCAGGATTCCCAGGAACGGCAGGGCTGCCAGAGACGTTTCTGGCCCCATCAACAAAGGCCCCAGGAGCCGCTGGCACGGAAAGACTGTCCAGCGGAGCAGCCACGAACGCCCCCGCGTCGGAAGCGGAGAGCGTGGTCAACGTGCCCGGAGCCGGGGGCTCGTCGAGCAGCGCGGAGGGATCAGAAGGCCCCACAGCAGTGCCAGGATTCAAAGTAGCTTCAAAGCTCCCCAGTCAAAACCGTTGTGAGCTGGGACCAAGGCACGAAACAGAAGCAGCAAGACCTCAAAGACCACTGAGGGGCCCCAGACAATCAGGCCAGCCCCCAGCCCAAGTCAGGCTCAGAGACATCCAGAAAAGCTCTTCTCCAGCTGGAAGGGGACGAAGCCAGCCGGCTGCGGGGGGGAAACCAAGCCTGGGCTTGAGGGGCCGGAGGCGAGGGGAGATAGAGATGCCGGCCGGCAGGTGGGACCAGGGCTGTAGCGTGGTCCCCAGAATTCATGTCCACCCCAAACCTGGAAATAGGGTCTTTGCAGACGTGATGAAGTTAAAAACCTGGAGAGGAGATCCCCTGGGACGGGGCTGGGCCCTCAACCCAGTGACAGGCGTCCGTCTGAGGGAGAGACTCAAGAGATCTGAGGCAGAGACACACAGAGAGGCCGAGCGAGGCTGGAGGCCGAGACGGGTGATGCAGCCGCAAGCCAGGGGCACCTGGAGCCACCGGGTGACGGCAGGAGATGTGGAGGGACAGAACAGGCTTCTAGAACTTTCAGAGGGAGCCTGGTCCTGCTTGTGGCGTGACTGAGGACTTGGGGCCTCCCGAGCGGGGCGAGAACAGGTTTCTATTGCGGTGAGTGCCCAGCAAACCTAACACAGCGTCTCTCGGCAAGTCTCGGCCCGTCTCCCTGCCCGTGGGCTGGGACTAAGAGCCACAGGGGCTCTGGCTAAGCTATGCTCCATCAGCGGCACGCGGCCTCTTTCTCAGTGGGGACAGCCTGGGCCCCTCAGAGGAAGGGCATGGTTCCGGTCCCATCACAGGCCACGCAGGAGAAGGAGGACTTTCTGCTGGAAAAAGGGACATCCCAAATTCTCCTGTCTACCCCGCCGCAGCGAGCAGGGAGGAGGCACGTGTGAGACCCAGACCAGGTGGGCCCAGCTGCAGTCTCAGCTCTGACCTGACATGCCGTGCACCCTTGTCTGTAGGATGGACGACCCAGTATCGTAAGGAGCTGGGCGAGGGCCTGGCACCGAGGAAGGTCCAGACAGGGCTGCTGCCTTGCTGAGGGAACGTGTACCCTCCTGCCCACACGGCCTCCAGGAAGGCAGGGCTCCGTGCAGCAGGACCGGCCCCGGCCCCACGCTGCCGGGGGTCTGAGTGCAGGAGCAGGAAGCACGCTCAGCTAGGGACCCCCTCCGCCCACTTACAGCTCCCAGTGTGCACGATCCCTCTGAGTGGGAAGGAGGGCTGTGCCCAGACTGCTGGTGTGGGGGCCGGGGGCCGGCTCCTGGCACGGACACCCCCTCACTGTGTGGTGAAGTCGAGTTCCGGGGCCGGCGGTCGGCCCGTATGCAGGACAATGGGCCCGCCGTAGTCCCTGCCACGTTCCTGTTCTGCTCTCAGAGCCCTCAAGTGCCCACACTGCCACCCTTGTTTGGGGACACTTACTTGACACGTGGAGTCACGGGCTCGACACCAACAGCACAAATGAGGCACAGGCCTGCCAAGGAGACACGGGCCACTGCAGCTCCACACGCCCAGGCCCAGAGCAGCCCTGAGCTCGAGAGCTAGACAGGCACCCAGCCATCCTCTGGGACCCGGGACGCCAGCGAGGCCTGTGCCCAGCGTGGCCCCCCGGGCTCCCTCTGTTCCTGGCACAGCGAGCTGGCGGAGGGCCTGGTCCTGGGGGCCCAGCTCAGCGTCCCCCTCACACCTTGGCTGCTCTGAGCCTCCCTTTCAGACAGCAAGGACAGCCTGCCCTCCGTGCCAGCCTCTCTGGGATGACCCGTCGGGGCCAGACTCCAGGCCGGACACTGGGACGCCTTCACCGCAGGCACCTGCACAGCAGATTTTTGTTTCTAAGAATTCTCCTGGGATCTGAAGCCAGACATTCTGCCTAAAGCTCCCACGGCATCTCCCCCACTGAACCCGTCCTGGCTGGTCGTTCCCAGAAAGTGGGAAACAGCTGGAGCGAAAAGGCCCCCCCAGGACAAGGGCACCGAGCCCAACACACCAGATGTCTCAGACTCCCGGTAAGCATGGGGAGGCCAGCAGACCTGCGGCGGCCCGCGGCGCCGGCCACATGCCCACGGCCCTCGCATCTGAAAGCACTTCCCGGAGCCAGAGCTGCACGGATCTGGGGTTCCTGCCTGAGGGGCAGCGGGTGCCCAGCACGTCTGCTTCTCCGGGAGGGCCCTCCCCAGGCTTCCCAGGCTGGGTTCAGCCTCTGGCCACCTTGACTGGACCTTCACGCGCTCACACTGGGAAGGTTTTGTAAGAAACTGTGTTTGCCTCCCAGGTCAGGGACAAGGTAAGAGGATGCTGGCAGGATACCTTGGAACCACGTGGACGTCATGTAACTGCAAACATTTTTTAAAATTTAAGAGGAGACTCCACAGTGAGCGGCAGCAAGGGGAGAGTGGGCATTGCCGAGGGTGACGCAGACTGTGCCTCCCAGGAGGCCTCCAGGCCTCGGTCTTCCTGCCAGCAGGATGGGATAACAGCAGCACTCCCGGCAGGTGTGTCCATCGTCAGCCACGGAGATGATCCACTCAAGGTGTACACAGTCCCCAGCCTATGTCAGGCTCCGTGACCTGAGCTGGGTGCCATCCTCCCTCTACGGGCCCCCCCGCCCAACCCAGCCCCTGAGCTCCAGTGCAGAGCAGAGCAGGTGGCCCACCTGGGAAGATGAAGATGAAGAAGGAACTGATGCCCCCGATGATGCCGATGATCTCGCTGAGGTCGGGCAGGAACAGGGCCATGGCCAGCGTCATGGCCACCCACAGCACGGTCAGCAGCCCCCGGACCCACGGCCCCGAGGGCTCCGCCAGGGCCCCGAGCCCACCTGCCAGGCAGCAGCTCCTCCTCCAGAAATCCTGCATCACCGACCTGGAGGCCACAGCAGCGCAGGGGCTCCAGCCCCGCCCCCCACGGGGCCCCCGGAACCCCTCCCGACTGCCCTGCCCAGCAGGCTCCCCGCTCCTCGCCAGCCACCGTTCTCCAAGGACTGCGCCAACCCTCACGCAGCTCGGTCCACGGCAGGCCGCCCCACAGAAGGACCAGGCGGGGTGCAGTCTTGGGGGGGCTGGGGCACCAAACTCCGGTTGTGACCCCAGCTCCCTGCCTCCGTGGTCTCTACAGAAGTTCCCCCAACACCCAAGCCCGCGTGGTGCTGGGCATGACCTGAACCCTGATAGAGGTTAGCGCCCTGCCCCGAGCGGAGCCCCCGTGGGCCGGGCCTCACCTCCCCAGGAAGAGCACGATGGGATAGACAGTCACGATGGAGACCCCGAAGAGAGCCCGGGCCACGATGATGATGACGTCGTTGCCAGGGTAGGACATCAAGATGTCGGCAGAAACATCCGTCCCAAAGGTCAGGAAGCCATAAACCCCTGGGGGGCCGAGAGGGTGGAAGTCCAGAGAGCTGAGTGGGGAGACTCCGTGCTGGAGGCAGAGACCGGACGGAAGGCACAGCACAGGGCCCGCGGTCAGCGGCGCTGCACCAGCACGTCCAGGCAAGGCCGGCAGCCGCACTTGCCGCGAGTGCGGCCTCACACAGGAGCCCAACCACTGTGCTGCACACCTGACACCAACACAACCTCGTGTGTGCGCTCGACACAGAAAATATTCTTCCCGTCACAGCCCCCCCCCACTCGGACACACGGACAGCGTCCAGCTCCTACCACCCTGAAGGAGCTCCCTGGGAGCGCACAGAAGGTTCTAGAAGGGTTCTGCGGTTTCGCAAGGCTTTCCTGTCCTTGGCCGACACAGAACTCCGCGCTCCTCAGTCAAAACTCCTGCTGCCCAAAGGTTGCTTCTCCTTTTCCCAGCGCCCAGCGCCGGTGAGGGCCACTCACGGAGGCGGCCGGCACTCAGAACCCCAACGACGCCTCATGCGCGGTCCGTCCCCCTCCTGCCCGTGCACCCGTTCTGACCCAGGGTGTCAACCGTTCCGGAATCACACAGTTCCATGCCCCTCTCCCATCCTCACCCCTTGGCATCCTGGTCACCTGCCCTGTCCCGAGTCTGTCCCTCCTGGCTGAGCTGTGCCTGTGTTTGCTTCTCTCTCAGCCCTTTCCAGAAGGTCCCACAAATCTGCTGGCCTAGAGGTGGCTCTCCATCCCCAGGTCTTGGGCCCCCGACCCAGGGGACACAGACTAACAGTGACCACGCCCACCCCCTCACCCCCGCCAGGGAGGGGTCATCCAGCAAGTTTCTCAGATGACCATGAGGCTCCAAGGAGCCCGAGACATCTGTGGCAGCCCACGGGCTTCCCGAGTCAGGGGTGCCAAAGCCAGAGGCAAGAACGGGCCCCAGTGCTGGAGGAATGCGGCTGGTCGGAAGTCAGCCTGGGCCTGAGACCTGGGGTGTGCCGCGTGACCTTGAGCATGTCACAGGCCTCCCTGAGCCACACTCTGTCACCTCTGGAGACCCTTCTGCCTGCAGCCCAGGTCTGTGAGCACCCAAATCACACGAGAGGTTTTGTACACTGCTCTCCCTGGCTGTGAGGCGAGGATAGCCAGCGTCACGGTCCCGTCTGCCAGCAGGGGATGGGGGAGTGGGCAGTGTGTAAGAGCAAGGCCTCTGGGGACGGCCGGGCCCTGGGTCTGACTCTCAGCTCTGCACGTCTAGTCGGGGGATCCTGAACAAGCCACGGGAGCCCTCTGAGCCTCCGTTCCCTCGTCTAGGAAACGGGGACTTCCCTAAGGGGTTCGGGCTAAATGGGCCGAGGCTCCCACACGGCAGGGCCTGCTCCCGGCACAGCACACTGAGCGCATGGGAAGGACTCCAGAAGCAGATGCCATTCGGGGTCTCTGGCCCCCTACCCAGCTCCGCGGTGCCCCGGCAGGCCTTACCTGTGAGCGAGTAGATGAGGCAGCAGGCCAGCAGGGACAGCACGGAGACCAGGGCCCAGCGGGAAAGGCTCTGGTGGCGCATGCTGCAGTAGACGGACACCGCGGCCTCGTGACACTGGAAGGCAGGGGCGGGGCTCAGGAGGGCGGGGCCGGCGGGACACAGAACCACCCAAACACTCCCGACAGTCGAAGGGCTGAGGAAATCAGTAGTCGCACGTGGAATATCACGCAGCACCGAAGAAGGAAGAACACAACCGTGTGCCCACGCACAGGAGAGCCTAACAGCCGTGACGCTGCGCAAAACGTGGAAACATGTTTCCATGGACGTGAAGTTACAAGCTAAGCCAGGGCAAGGGGTCTCGATGGCAGCACCACCGACATCTGAGGATGGCTCTGTGCACTGCAGGATGCTGGGCGGAGTCCTTGGCCTCGAGCTCCCTGGATGCCAGGAACACCCCAGTCCTGACAATCAGGTCTCTGGACGTTGCCAAATGGGCTCTGGGGAACAGAACTGCTGTAGCTGGGAACCACCACTTTCGGTGACAAAGGGCAGAAGAGAGGGTGGAGGGTGCTGGTGAGTGGGGAAGGTCACGGGGGAGCTCTCGGGGGACTGGCAATGCTCTAGATCCTGCCTGGGCTGAGGCTCACGTGGGAGTACACATACCCGTGACCAATAAACTTCACAGGGACTCTCTGACATCACAACAAGACTTAAGCACAAACCACCTGTAGTCAACATCAAGGAATTGGCTTAGTTGGGGCAGGTCCTGGGCAGTGGCATTTCACGAGCAGCCCGGGAACCCCGGACTTGCATTCAGGGTTGAGAGGCACGGCTCTATCTCCATGCCCCCCTGGGGCCTCCAGGACTGTCACAGGCTCCTAGGACAGGGTTCCCACCACACGTCAGCCTCTTCACTCACTTGTGATCAAAATCAAACATGCTGATCCCCTCCTCCTGCCCACTCTCCAGGCTCCGAGGAGCCATGCTTCCCTCACCCACTGGGCTCAGTTCACCTCCATTCCTCCTCACTGCCTCAGGGCCTTTGTTTGTGCTGGGTTCTCTACCTGGGATTCTCTCTTGGTCCACCCTTCCAGAAAGCGCTCCCCAGCAGGACCGAGATCCTCCCTGTGTCCCCGCCCCCCACGTGAGTATGTTTGGGATTGCATGTTCAGCATCTTTGGCTACATGGTAACAAGGACCACATCTGCCTCACTTATGCCTCTGAGCTCAGGCCAAACATGGGGCCTGGTACAAAGCTCAGGAACACTCCACGGGTGACTCATTTACCCACCCCGTAACCCAACAGCAACCAGGAAGCCGCCCCAGCACTCCGATGTGGAACACTCCCCCTCGTGCCAATCTGGGAAACCACAGAAACCAGCCGGACGCAATCCCCTCCCCGCTGGAGCACACATTGGCGGGGGGCGGGGAGGAGGTTCAGAGGGGACACACTGGGTCCTCCAGACTCCAGCTGCCATAACAGCACCCAGCCCAGGGTGAGCTCAAGCACACCCCCCCCCCCCCCCCGAGACCAGCCTCAGGACACGTGATCTTGGGCTTTCTGCCCCAGGCCTCCCTGACCTTGCAGGAGTCCGCTGGCCACAAGCTGGCTCAGGAGGTTCCTCGCAGGGAACCTCCACCAGGGGGACCCAGAAAACCTACGCTCCCACCTCCCGCACTCCTATGGCATTTCTGAGGGACATCCCACACGCTTTCCAGGATGGCCCAGTACCCGTGATGGGGGGCCTCCCCAATGTGCCTTCCATTTCCCTGTCCCTGCTCCCAAGCCCATGGCAGCCGCAATCCCACAGGCTCTGCGGGACTGCACAGGATGCCACACTGGGGGTGGGGAGGGTCTCAGAGGCTCTGTGCCTAGAGGAGAAGCAGAGCACAGCGGTCAGGACAAGATGCCTGGTGGAGGCAGGATGCCACCCAGCCCTCCTTTCAGTTGTTCCCCCGACTCCCAGGCCCTGTTCCACCTGGTCTCGTGCAGGGAACTGAAGCACGTCCCACGAGGGAAGAGCTGCTAAGCCAGGACAGTGGCCGGGACAGTGTGTAGGATGGGGCTGGGCCAGGGCTGGCTCTCTGCTCTCCTGGTGACAGAAGGCCAGGCAGAGGAGCACAGACACTGAGAAGCAGAAAGCGGCCACATGTCCACCCCCGAGGAACGGATTCACAAGCCGTGCTTGATCCGTCCAGCAGAGCACTCCGAGGGGGCTGGGAGCAGAGGCTGTAGCCCGACTGCCCCATGCGGGCCCTCGGACTCTGTGCAGGCTGGACGCGGAGCCCCACTGCTCAGTGTGGGGGGAGGAGAGCTGTCTGACCAGGTCAGAGCTCCCTTCCTGCCACGCCCCTCCGCCTGGCTGCCCCCTCAGCCTACCTCCGACCATCCCCACCTCCAGCTGCTCTGCCCCCACCCCCCAGGTCCCCGGAAGCTCCAAGCCCAGATGCTGGCAGCCCTGCCTGGGCCTGAGCCCCACCCGCACCCCGACCCTGCAATGCACATCTTCTCCCAGCCCCCCATCACTGCATCCCGTGTCCCTGGAAACCGCAGCCCGGGCCCCGGTTGCTAGGAGAACCGGTTGAGGAGCCGAGGCAAAGGTGAGGGGGGCACCCCGTGTAAGCATCTGGAAGGCCGCCCCCGCAGCGCGAGCCTGCCACACCACATGGTGCCTGGGCACAGGAGGGAGGGATGCGAACCACAGCCAGAAAGACCACTGACAGCAAAATCATCGCTTCCATCTTTCAAAATATTGGATGCGCAAGAAGAAAAGTGAGAAATTCCTGCGAGCGGCTTGCTAAGCCCCAGAAGCGATCTATCGATGGATTTATAAGGAAGATAAATGGAAATGTTCCAGGACTTTTTTTTTTTTCCAAACATGGTTCTCAAAGAAAAGGCAAGACGAAGGAGAGAAGCAGGAGCTGGCTGAGAGAGACGCGGCCAGACCCCCTGCCCTTGCGAGCAGGATTCTACTCTGGGGTGGCTTTGGTGGCGCTGGTGTGCTGGGGAGGGAGGGGCTGTTTTTAGGAGGGAGGCACATCTTTCCTAAAATAAACACTCAAGGAACGGAGTCCGCTGCCGCCCGCTGAGAGACTGGAAGACCCGAGAAGGACCAGAAGGCAGGGAGTGGGGCCGTGCCCTCCACCGCACCCCTCCAGCACCGCGTGGGGAGCCTGGCTCGCCCCCTGCCGCTCTCCCACCTCGCCTGAGATCCTCTGCCCTCCCGGGCTCATGGGGCCGATCTCTCCAGCTGCCCTCCCCTTCACCTGGCGGCCTCCCACCTGTGCTTCAAGGTCACTTTCAGGCATCGGTGCGTGGAAAAGCTGTCTCTGAACCTGCCCCAGGCAGGGCTACCTCTGAAGGCCCTCCGCCGGATTCTGCACACACAAGCCATCCTCTCTCCGTGACACCCGGTCCGAGATTCTGTCTATGCCCCGTGCACCCCACCCCACGGCCACCGGGATGCCGTCCAGCCCTCCCCGCTGCAAGCCTTCCGGGGCAGGATCGCCCTGCATGACGTGTGCTCTAGAAGCAGGCGGCTCTAGGTCTCCAGTCACAGCGCCAGTCCTGTGAGAATTCTACAGCGGACGGAACAAATTCCGGATCCCCACACCACCCCACACCCGACAAATGTGCTGCTAGCGCTGGCAGGCCCAGGTTCCCGAGTTCAATGACAACACATACTTCACTGAGCCCAGATGCCCACCGACACGCGCGGTCTCCCAGAGAGACAGCCCGTCTCGTCCCCCGGCAAGGCCTTAACCTTTCCTGACAGGCCCACACTCTCGGGAGGGAGCAGGACGTCGCCGGCAATGCCTCCACACGCCCGCAGACATTACCTGGAATCCGAAGCAGATGGTCGGGAAGACACTGAACACGGAGGTCCAGGAGGAGGGCCTACAAAGGGATGCGGACAAGTGTTCACCACAAAAAGCACAACTCGAAACAGGCTCAACTTGAGGAGGAGTTTTCAACGATCGCAGGAAAACGTACCTAAAGCCTAGGAGACAGATTCTTAATCACCAGGAAAACGAGGCGTGTTCAATGCTACACCTTCTAGGTCTACCTGCACTGACGTCTGTTTGCTTGCCATTCTGTGTGCACGCAGAACTCGGGGAGGACGGGGCTCGAAGGAATTCCCAACTTCTGCTGAGGCCTCCTGCTCCCACCAGGATTAGGGGCGGGGGCGCAGGCAGCACCCCCGGATCCAGCAGTGCGAGGACGGCCGGACCGCCACCCACGCTGCCTACAAGAGCGGAGGTGTGCACAAGGCAGAACCTCCAGGCCCAGCCCTCTCCGGGGTCCCCAGACAAGGGCCCCCTAGCTTCCTTTGAGAAGAAGCTCTGGGTGTGAGCCTCTGGCACCTTGGATGACACAGAGGCACAAGCAACACCTGCTGGCCTTGGTCCCCCAGCAGCTCCTGCCCATTCCAGTCCTCCCCTCCTCAGAAGAACGTTCTTCCCTGCCTCTCTCCCTCTCCCCTGGACCCAATCCCCCTGGGCACTCACCCCCTTCTCCCGCCCTGATGGAGCTCGTCCCATCACCAGCAGCCTCCATAGCTAAATCCAATGGCAGGGCTCAGTCCCACGTGACCCAGCAGCAGGATCTGGCAGCAATCACCCTGGCCTTCTTGAAATTTTGTTCACTGACTTCTGAGATGCACCTTCTAGCCTCCACTATCCTGGGTTGAATAACATCTCCCCAGATTTACATCCCCTGGGAACCTCGCAACAAAGACTCATTTAGAGTTGGGTTTTGTACATGTAACTGGCTAAGCTTAGACGAGGTCCCACCGGAGCAGGGGGGCTCATCGACAGACTGGTGTCCTTACCGGAAGGGGAAACAGACAAGGGGAGAAGGTCCTGCGAGGACAGGGCCGGAGATGGGAGGGAGGCGCCCACGTGCCAAGGGAGGCCAAGGATGGCTGGGGCCACCGGAAGCTGCACGGGGCAGGAAGGAACCGCCCAGAGGTGCTAGAGGGAGCAGGCCCGGCCGCACCTGACCTCTGGACTTGCAGATTCCGAGAGGCATTCCTGCTCGGCCCAGCACCCCAGGAGGCGAACCCGTCCTCCTGCTTCGCCTTCTCGCTCCCCTTCCACAGGCTCTGCCCTCTGACCTCCTGGTCCCGGACTGAGCGCCACCGGCTCAGGGGCACGTCTCAACCCAGCCCGGTGGCCTCGAATGCCACTTCTGGGCCAACAATAACCACGTTTCCCTCTCCAGTCCAGACCCCCCTCTCCGACCTCCACACACATGGGTCCAACTGGCCACCTGACGCCTTCATTAGCGGTCTCAGAGCTGCCTCCAACGTAATATGTCCCCATGTGACCTCCTCCCCCAGCCACCTGCTCCTGTCTTCTCCAGCCCAGGAAATAGCACCCTTCCCAGAGCTCAAGCTCAAAGCTCAGAGTCGTCCTGCCCTCTTCTCCTCCTGATGTGCCACTTCGAATCCAGGGGCCAGGAGGGGCCCCGTAATTCGTGAAGCCTGGTGCAAACTGCACGTGCTAGCCTCTTGTCGATCGGAGGCTCTCAGGGCGGCAAGAGCAGAACTTATGAAACCAAGTGCAGGGACCTTCTAGGCACACGGCCCTGGTGACTGTCCTGGTCACATCCCCACAGCGCAGGCCCGGCCACAAGAACTGACTTCAAGCCCTGCTGTGCTCAAACTCCTGCATGGGCTTCCTGGCCCAAACTGAAGTCCTCACCACAGCGTGGCAGCCCCAAAGGACACCCCTCCACCGAGTCCCGGCCTTCCTAAGGCCAGTCCGGCCACGCCAGCCTGCACGCACTCCTGTTCCCTCCGCCAGGAACCCAAGCCTTGCCGGCCAGCTCTGCTGCCTCTGTGCCGTGGGGGATGTCTGTCTACAACAGCCCTGGGGCCCCAGGTGGGTGGGGCGTTCAGTGTGTGTATGTGTCCCTCCACCTGTCCCTGGCCCTTACTTGCCAAAGTCCATCCTGAAGGAGGACAGGGGACTCGGCAGGGCTCTGCTGCATCAGAGACATGAAGGATTTCACAGGGAGGTGCGGGGACTCTGGGTCCCTCTTCCAAGGATCCCAGTGCAGCACCCCCGGGAGCCATGAGGCTACACCCCACCTCCCAAACTCACCTCGCTGCAGGGTGGGGCTCATGGACGAGGCCTGGGGGCCCGAGGTAGTACTGCACCATGATGACCAGGGCCAGGTAGCAGGCGGCCAGGGAGCCTAGGATGCTGACAGAGGCGCGGCGTCAGAGGCGCAGCGTCAGGGGCCTCCGTGCTGGGCCCACCAGCCCTGCCAGCTAGAGCCTGGGCTCCCGCACAGAGTGGGGGCCGAGTGCCAGCTCTGCCCACGCTAGCAAGGTGCTGGGCCAAGTCCTCGCTGCTATCAGCTTTGCTTTCCTCTCTGTGCCATGGGGACGGGGGAAGACGGCTGCTTCTCGGTTCTAGTTCCAAAGCGAAACGTCTATCGTCACGCACAGCAGGCAAGGGCAGACTGTGCACTCAGACGAACTCTTCTGCCGGACTCTATCTTCTCGAGTGTGTATATAAAGCCTCAGAGCGTCAGATGGAATCAGAAGTGTGTCTGGGGTCTCTCCGTTCTTAACCAAAGAACAAGAGCTCGGCCGCAGGTCACGTCCGCACCGACAGCGTTCTCGTTCTTCTGTTTTCCACCACGCGTACACATTACTTGTGCACTTTTCCAGCCCTTTTCTCTTGTCCAAATGGCGGGACCGAGGCTGCCAGCTCCCCTAACCCCAGGCAGAAAGAAGCCCCCCCAGACCCCTGCCCGCCAGGAAATGTCTGCAGGCCCGTACCTCGTGTATTTCTGGAACCCGATCTCCCGTGGGGCGGACAGCGGCAGGATGACCAGTGCGGAGAGCAGGGGCAGGGTGAAGCGCTGCTCGGTGTACCAGGGCTGCAGGGCCGGCGGGGCGCTGGGCAGCAGGAAGTCGCACACTGGCGGGCAGGGGGACAGGGCCCACTAAGAGCGCTGCACGCCCTCCGCCAGTGGCTTCGGCCATGAGGCTCCCTGCTCCAGGTCTGGGAGGGCTTGGCCACGGACACTAAGTCAGCTGTGAGCCTAAAGGGAGAGGATGGGGACCCCATCCCGTGCCACCACGCGGGAAGGAAGCCAGCCAGACACTGCCCTAAGTGCTGGGATCCAGCAACAAATCAAAGGCAAAATGGCCCGCCCTCAAGCCACCCGGCCCTCAAGTTCTTGCGAACATGTTTTGGTTTGTGCAGAAGCCCAGTGGGTGTGTGGGGTGGGGGCCTGGAATGGCCTTCTGGACCCAGAACTGGGAGACCAAGCCAAGCAGCCCAAAGTGACCACTTTCTTGCACACCAGACACCGGAGGAGAATTAGGGCAGAGCTGAGGTGCCCCAATCGGCTCCATGTGGGCCAGCTGGGGGCACCTGGCTGAGCAGAGGGCTGGGCTAGAGGACCCCTGATAGGCCCACACTGGGGGCCTGCGGGAGTACCTGGGCTCCACTGGGCCTCCCTGCAACCCCAGGGTCTCTCCACAAGAACCCTCCAGCGGTCTAGATTGGGGCAGCCAGGGGCTCCGCAAGACCCAGTGGAAACTACCCGTCCTCAAACGCTAGGTCTGGAACTGGCCACATCCCATCGGCCACACTACTGCGCCGAGGTGTCTGGGAGCCCACTCCGAGTTAAGGGCGAGGGGACAGACTCCCCCCACCCTACCCCACCCCCAGCGCCCACCAACCATAGGTGTCCCGTGGCCCACTTGGGGCTGCTCTCTCTGCCTGCTTCTCTGCCTACTTGTGATCTCTGTCAAATAAATAAATAAAATCTTTAAAAAAAAGGGGGGGGGTATTTCGTGGTAACAGAGGGGGATGGCTCATGGGTGTGAGCCTGGTAACAGAGCTTCCAACACCAGGAGGCAAGAATGGACAGAATTAAAAAGGCAAATGGGGCGCATGGGTGGCCCCGTCCAGTACATGTCTGACTCCTGATTTCGGCTCAGGTCACGTCTCAGAGTTGTGAGATGGAGCTCGCCACCCAGGCTTGAGAGTCTCCCTCTCCTCTCCCTGCCTCTCCCCCAACTCACGCTCTCTCTAAATAAACAAAGTCTCTAAAAGGGCAAACAGACAAGCCTACAATCACAGCAGACTTTAACTGCCCTCTTCCAGGAACTGAGAGAATGACGAGCTTTGGAAAACAAACAAACAGTGAGGCTACGGAGGACCAGACCAAAGCCGCGGGCCACCTCGAGCCGCGTGTCCCCGAACACAGCGCCCAACAGCAGAAGGCATGGCCCTTGGGAGCGCGTGGGGTGCCCACCGAGACGGACCGCGGGGCACCCAACGCAAGCCTCCAACACCCAAGACGGAAGCCATGCGCAGTGCGTCCTCCGACAGGGCACACGAAGGCAGAAACCAAGAGGGCGTCCAGGAGACTCCCGAGGAACTGGACACTGAACCACAGGAGTCCAAGCCTCCCACGGGTCAAGGAAAAAACCACAGCGGACGTCAGCAAGTGTGCCGAGTGGAACAATGAGGAGAACCTAGTGGTGCTTCGGGGGGCGGAGGACAGCTCCTGCGGTGTTTGCAGGGAAATGGCCGATGGGGGATGACACGCCAAAGGGGTCTGGGCTCAGTCTTGGAGGCCCCCGAACTCTCTCTTCAAAGGGGCTTCTCTGCAGCTGGCTCGGCTCCCCCCGCCATGCATGGGGTTGTCCCCGCCAAACGTCCAGCACAGCCCCTCTCGCTCCGTGACCCTCAGTGTGCCCGTAACTACTACTCCGGGTCTCCTTCTGCCACAATGGGACGAGCTTAGAGGTGGCCTTGGCCACTGCTGCCCCCCCCAGGGCCCTGCCCAGCACCTACATCCCGCTCATCAACTGGAAGCCCTGGGGAACCCCCCCAACTCCAATGCCAGTACTTACGCTTCTCCAGCTGGTCCCCAATCACCCTGAGGAAGGCCACAGAGATCATGAGCAGGTTGACAATGAAGCAGGCCTCACACAGCTTCCCAATGGTGGGGCCGCACAGGTCTCCAACCACGCCCTGGTAGGTGGCCTGGCCGCTGACGGAAGCAGCGTAGCCCAGGATGACCAGCCCGCTGATGAGGAAGACCAGGGAGACCTGCAGGGCAGGACCAAGGGGCCCGGGTGCATCCCCAGCTTCCTGCCCAAGCCCGATGTCCCTTGAACTCGGACGCCCCTCTCCACAGGGCCTGTCACCCACAGAGGCCACCTGCCGCCCAGCGAACTCTCCCCGACGGGCCACCAGGCCCTCCTCTGCCCCAAGACCGGAGCTACGAAGCAGGAACAGCCGTGTGCTCTCTGGCAGTATGTAAGTCTCATGCTTCCTAGTCCCAGTTGAGCAAAAGAGGCATCGGAAACCCTGAGAGTCTAAATCCCTCTCATAAAATTCCATGGGTTGCAGGTCACAAATACGTATCATTGGCCAAGGTCCAACAAATGCACGTGTGCCACCCATGCCCATCCTGACAGAACATGCTACCATAGCCTGGAGCTTTCTCCTGCCCCTTCCCGTACTGTTCTGCTCTGTCCCATCCCAAGAAACCTCTCCTCACGCCTGGCTTCTCCCAGCTGGAGCGACATGCACGAGATGCCCCAGCCTCCTGGGGGCACCAGCAGCTCACCCCCATTTCTGAGTGCGACTTCATCCCCTGCATAGAACACGATCAGTCCATGCAGGCCCTGAGGACAGGCTTCAGGGTGGTTCTCCCTCCTGGGCTACTGGGAAAGAGGCCACCTGAAGGATGTAGCCTTCGTTCTCCTGGATACACAGCTAGGAGGGCTGCTAGATCCCAGAGAACGTGTGGGTCTAACTCTGCAAAAATGTGCCAAACTGTTCTCCACCGCGGTGCTGCTGCTGGGTCCCCATCCGCCCATCCCCACCCCCACCCCCAGAGAGGCACACAGGCCCTGCTTGCTCCAGTTTAAGGCTACCTGTCCCCAAGCGGGACTGGTTTCCACGTTCCCAGGAAGGAGAGCGCTACAGGAGTAGGGAGACACAGCCACAATGCCGGAGGGAAGCTGGAGTGTCTGTCTTCAGACACTGTTCATGCTACGGGACAAGCAGCAGGACTCCCGAGAAAGGAGGCCATAGGACGGTGCGGCAGAGATTGGAGGGACGTGCCCCCTCTCCCCCTCACCCCTGCCGCCACTGCTGGAAGAGACAGGAAGACGGAGCATGGCCCTGCCCACACCGGATCTAGACTTTTGGTGTCTGGGACCCTGAGAAAGAATTTCTTTTGTTTTAAGCCCCGTTTGTGGTCCTGTGGTTGGTCCAGCGGCCTGAGGACACAGATATTTACGAGTGTCCACGTCTCCCGGGGTCCTCAGCCTTCTTTACCCACCACACTCTGAGCCCCACGAAGGCGGGGACTGTCTCTTCTGCCTATCGTTTAGCCCCAGAAACACGCCCAGCAAGCGGCCGGCACTTGGAAGGGGGGTCGGTGGGGTCAGACGGAGCCTCTGCCCGGGAGCGCCTCTCTGCCAAGCAGCGAGGGACCGCTTGCATGTGGGATAGGGCACCCCGCAACAGTGACCCTGAGCCTCCACACGGCGGGACAGCAGAGCCCTTACCCTGAGCCCGGGCCTGCCTCCCTGAGGCCCCAGAGAGGGTCCAGGTTCGTTACATTTCGTGAAAGCTCCAAGGCTGACCCGTATCTAGAGACCTAGAGCCTCGCGCCAGTAAGCTCTCAGCCGTGGGGTGTCCAAACGCTCATGAGGGGAGATGGCGGCTCACTGGCCAGGAGAAGTGGGGGAGGCTGCTGCCTGGAGGTGGGCGTGGGGGACCACCAGCCTCATTCCTTACTTGTTGGGACTTTGCGTTTACTCGCGCTCGACATCCCCTCAGGTCTCGGACTCAGGTCCGCTCAGGCATCTTTAGACCATCCCGCCCCAAGTGCGAGTCACCAGCAGGAGCCCTGGCCCCTGGAAGCGCCTCCGAAATGCACACCCTCCGGCCCCCCCAGAACTGCCCAATCGACACCTCCAGCTCAGCGAGGCACCCGGCAGACGGCACAGAGTGTGATGAGGGGGACCCCGCAGCCCTGCTCACAGGGCACTGGCCACAACCGTCCTGACCCCCCGCTTCACTGTTCTCCCTACGGCTGGACGTCAGGCCTCTTCATCGTTCTGAAGGTGGTCTTTCGCCATCACACGTCCAAACACAGCAGGTTTCCCCTCACAGGCACCTGGACATGCTCTTCCGTTTCTGCTGGGGCTCCGCTTACCACCACCTCTGCCGGGAGGCCTTCTCTGACCACTGTGCGCTGCGTCATCCCACCCTCTGTCACATGACCCTTCGAGCAAGACCACCGCCCCACACAGTATTATTTCCCTTCCTGCATCGCTCTGTGTCCCCTCTTGGAACGAGCTTCCAGGGGACAGAGCCTGCACGGCTGCAGGGAGCCCACAGCAGGACAGGCCCTCGGCCGGCGCCGGGGATGGCACCGGTTACCCTACACGGGCAGGACAGAACACTTTCCAGGACTTCAGAGGCCCCGCGGCCGTTATCAGCTGGTTGCCGTGAAGAAGCACGTGGGATAACGTCTGTGGGAGAGCTTACCACGAGACTCCCGGCGCTCGCTATCAGCTCAGGGCGGGGTGGGGGGGTTGTCCTTGCAAATAAAATGAAGCTGTGCTATTAGCAGCCCTTCTCCATGACGGACGTTCAGCCCCCGGCTTTGTGGGGAAGGAGCTCGGGCTGGATCTCCGCGACACGGCAGCGGCCCGGGCCTGGCGGCATGTGGGTGTGAGGGGCTCACAGCATCCTACGTGTGACCCGACTGCCCGCGGGATCCCACTTCCATTACCGAGCGGCACCCAGCAGGGGAGCGCCACCGACGCGCCAGGTGAGGCCGTAGACATGGCGCCTTACAGCCGCCTGGCGGCTCTACTCGCTGCAGGTGCCGGAGAGCGACCGGCTTCCCACGGCCTCCACCTCCCCACCCGCAGCAGACCAGGGGCCTTCTCCCCCGGAGCCTACAGCAGGATGATCCCCTCCCCAAGCAGCAGAGAGAGGGGCCAGCCTCAAAGGTGTCGGATTCTAGGCCAGTGCTCCAGAAGCCATGCCGAGGATCCCGGCTGGCTCACTCCCCAGGAGAACCCCCAAAATGCTCTGCAGGGGCTTACCAGCTCCACCAAGAAGGCAGGGGTCACCCCACCCGCCTTGTAGAAGGCCCAGGGGAAGCTGAGCAGGCCGGCCCCCAGCGCAGACTTCAGGAGGATGAAGACGGCACCCAGCGAGGACAGAGTGGGGCTGGCGGCCGTGGGAACTGGCTTCTCCAGGAGGCCTGGGCGGCTGCCTGTGGCTCCCTCCATGGCTAGAAGCAGCAGCGGGGTGGGGAGAGAGGCAGTCTTCACACTGCCTTCCCAGCAGTGACACGTCCTGCTCCCCAAACCAGTCAGAGAAATGCATCTGCCCCCATGTCCCCATGCCACGGTCTACCTCATGCTGCCCCGTTAAGTTACCTGTTCCCTGGCTGGCCCCACGGCCTTGGTCCTCACCCCTCCTACCCTCGACTGCCCAGCCTTCATCATCACTCGGGCCCTCCCACCAAAGCCCGAGAGCAGACCCAGCCCCTCGCCCTGCTCTGCCAGCCTCCACTCCTCCCTGCCTGCCCCAGCCCCTCACCTTTACCCCCAAACCCAGACTTCAAGGTCACATGGTCCTCAGCCATCACGGACAGAGCTCAGGCTTGCTCCGGCGGTACAGCTGCATTTCCTGGGCCCTGCGGGTGGAAGAAGGAAGATTCTAGCTCTGCCAAGGGATGGTAAAGCAATCAGTAATTAAGGGAGCCTTAGAAAGCATGTGTTGGGGTCACGTCCCCACCCCTACTGGCACAAGGACGAGAGGTCAGAGCCATCTGTCCCAAGAGCTTGCAGCTTCTGAGACTCCCAGCCTGAGGAGGGGTCTTAAGACTCCCTCCCCTCCCCCACTGGGGTGAAGGCCCCTCCCAGGAGGCGGATCTTTTCTGGTGGCCTGAGGGTCAGAGGGAGTGCAGCCCGGTGCGCTCAAGGGGCAGGCCTGAACCTCATCTCCCCCACTGACCTGGGCAAAGGGTCCCTCTCCAGGACCCCAGTCTGAGGAAGTGGGACCAGGGAGAGCCTGGAGCTCAGTGTCTGCACTTGCTAGGAGCGTGTGATCTCTCCGAGCCTAGTTTCCCATCTGCGAAGGGGTCTGTCTGCCCACCTTGCCGCTTGCAGTGGGCTGAGGGGCCGCTATGGACTCAAGCGCGTGCAAAGGCCCCGGGCAGCCAGCAGGTGCTTCCTCGAGATACCCCTGAAACGACCGTGCACACGCATCACCTGCAGTCTCGTTAAAGGCAGAGTCTAATTCTCAGTACCTCGGGAGGAGCCAAGATCCCTCATGACTCACAGGCTCCAGGGGGTGGGGCGGGTGTTGTGGTCCAGGGCAGGCGCAGTGGTCCGGACCACACTCTGGCAGACACCGCGTCTCCAACGTGAGACCCTGTCAGTGAAGATGGCAGACAGAGCACAGAAAACTGTACGTTCTGGAAAACACAGGTCCACGAACGTCACACCTCAAATTCCAATGTGAACCAGCTCGTTCCCGCCACCCAGCTTCAGGTCCCCCTGAGGGCATGTTACGACACAGATGGAGGACTGTATCACAACCCAGCGTTTCTGATTCACTGGGTCTGGGAATCTGCATTTCTACCCAGTTCCCCATTGATGCCCACGGAGCTGGTCCCAGGACCGCCTCTCGAGGGCTGTGGCTTTAAGTTAAACATCTCCAGGGCCCCAGGGCCTCGCCTGATCAGTCCTCACCTGGCGGACACAAGATCGGTGCCAAGCGTTTTCCTCCGTGTGGTTTCGAACGGTCTCAATCCCGTGTCACCAGCAGATTGATTATACCTTTGCAGGCTCCACACAGAGCATGCTCAGTAAACACGGGGCTGCCGGGTGGCCAGCCTGTTAGCAGGGACAGGGAAAGGGGTCTGGGCGGGTGGCCCAGGAGTGCCCAGCTGGACATCTCGCGTGGCACTCGGGCTGCCACCAGCTAAGCAGGGCTGGGAGCCTGGGCCCGCAGCTGGTGCCAGGTGTCTGAGCCCGCACGTCGAATCCCAAGGAGATGTCACCATTGTGCTCCACGCGGGGCAGGCCTTGGGCTCAGCACAAGACCACTGGCAAGTGACAGGCCTGGGACTCAGGCCCGGGTCTATTATCCCCAAACCTGCATTCCCCCCCACGGCCTGCCCGACCAGCAGAGCCCAGCCCTGGGGTCCCAAGTGAAGAAGTGATTGTGTGCATGACAGATGGCAGGATGGACAGACGTCCGAAGAGAAGCAGAGGTCTTGACTTCCCCCATGGAGGAGTCTCCGAGGCTGTCCTGACAAACTGCAATGAAATGGGGGGCTAAAACCAACGGAGCTTCGTTCTCTCACAGTTCGGGTGCTGGAAGCCTGAAGCCAGCTATCGGCAGGGCCACGCTCCCTCCGAAGGCTCCGGGGGGGGACCCCTCCTGTCTCGTCCAGCTCCTCGGGGTTCCAGGCTCCATCCTCCCAGGCCACCCCAGCCAAGATGGCCTCATCTGCAGATCCTTACCTTCACCGCCCCTGAAGAGACCCCCGCTTTTCCATGCCGTGTCACACCCACGAGCTCTAGGGCGCGCTACTGAGCACCCGGCTCCCCCCCTATCTGGCACCTGAGTGTGTTCTCAGTCATTCTGTCAGTCATTCAACAAACACTGACTCAGAGCGAGTCATGGGGGAAAGAGGTCTCCACTCTGGAGGACAGGGCTACCTGCGAGGATACCAAGACTAGACAAAAAGCCACGGTCCAAAGGGAGGGGGAGTGTCCTCAAGGCTCCAGCAGCTGGGGCATCTGGAGGAGCTCCCGGGAGGAAGGTGACAAGGCTGTGCGCCCTTAGCGAAGGGAGCAGGGGAGGCCCCGTGAAGGCTCAGCCAGGGGTCCTGGAGAAGGCCTCCAAATTCTGTGGCCCCCCAGGTTAGAGAGCCGGATCAGATACCTAGGAAAGGCCTTTCTGGCTGTACTGGACATTGAAACCTCACCTCTTCCTTGCAGAGGTTTTCCAGGAACGCAGTGAGGTCGGCCCCCTGAGGAGTGGCACCTGGGGGTGGCAGGTGGAGCCCGGACAGCAGCCCAGGCAGCTGGAGGGCACAGACCAAGCCCAGGATGAAGGCTGAAAAGCTGCACAGCTCTGACCGGCTCCCCCCACATCCACCCCCACATCCAGCCCGAGGCAGTGACAGGAGATCAAGAGCCTCACCAGCGGCTGGCTTTGTTCTTCTTAATCTGGGCTCTGGAGCCAGGGGCCCCTCCAGGTCCCTGCCTGGACACCTCATTAGCTGCCCATTAACGTGCATGACTTAGAAATTGGCCACTGGGCTGTGAAATTCCACTCAGTGAGGAAAACCTCTTAGTTCTGAGAGGCTTTGATATGCACTCCCTGCCGGCCTCCCAGGGCCGTGTGACCTTTCCAGGCTGCCTGGACGCGCCCTGGGTGCCCCATCCGTGTGGGCGGGCGGCTCAGGTAGCGTGCACACTGGGCCTCGGTGGACCAGGTAGGGGGTGGTCGGCCCAGTGCCTGCAGGGACGCGGGACCAACCCCCTTCCGTGTCATCCCAACAGGGGAGCACCTGTCATCAACGGTTCTTCTTCAGGGTCCAGCTCCTTCCCTTCTCCACAGAGTATGGGTCTGACAGGTTCAGAACTACAGGGAGAAAGATCTTGTTTCCCCAGACCTCTGTGCTCACCCACCCGTTAGAAAGTTCTGGAACATGAATGAGGGCAGGTCCCAGGAGCCAGTCCTCGGCTCCCCTTGTGCACTGGCTCTGTGGTCTGGTCTAGGCCTGGGCCTCGCTGGGAGCACTTGGGAAATAGGATCACAACGGTTTCCGCCCTACAGGGCTGTTGGCAGGATCAGGAGAACGTGCTCTTGGCACAGAAGTGAGCAGCGGGTGTCATTTGGAATAGCGCATGTCAGACTCTGTTACTGGTTTGTGTCTTTCCCTCGGTCTGATTCTGAGCTTCCAGAACAGTGTTCTGAACACTGGCTGCCCAAGAATCGTGGAGGAATGCTTCTGGAGGAACGAGAGCCAGACTCACCCCCAGAGCTTCAGGTGACGGGGTGCAGGGGCAGTGCAGGCCTCCGGATCTCCACAAAGCTCCGAGAGCCGCTGACACTGTGGAGGAGGCGCACGGTTCTGGGCAGGCAAGGACCCTGCCTCACCTGTACTCCTGGGCCCACGGCCCCCCGTTTCCCACGGCTTCCCCGGGGCCTCAGGCAGCTTAGCAGAAGCCGCCTGGGGCAAACCAGGAGCCGTGGCCTGTCACGGGCAGCCCCATCCACAGCAGCTAACCACGGGCCCAAAGTTCTCCTACGCAAACTCACCACAGCTTGGGGACAGAGGGACCCAGCGCGCTTGTCCGAGTGGCGGCCTGTGAAGATGTCCTCGTCCGGACCCCAGACCTGTGAATGCAGGGACGGACACAGCAAAAGGGGCTCTGCCGGTGACAATGAAGGACCTTGGGATGGCACGAGTGTCCTGCATGAGCCGGGCAGGCCCTCAATATCCTCCCAGCATCCTTACCACAGGGACACAGGAGGGGTCAGAGGTCAGAGGGGAGAAAGCGGGGTCAGGACTTTGAAGGTGGAGAAGGGGGAGGAACACAGGCCCCTCTAGTGGCTGGAAAAGGCCTGAGACAGGTTCTCCCCCGGGGGGGCCTCCGAACAGAACCAGCGCCACCCACACCTGATTTCAGCCCAAGAGGCTGATTCTGGCTTTCCAACCACCAGAAGTAGAGAGTATGTATGTTTTCAGCGCCAACTTCGCAGAGACTTGTCACAGTTCAACACGAAATGGGTTCAGCCAGCACCCTGGGTTCTGATGGTTGGGCCCCTCAGAGAGGCTGGAGGTCTGTGGACCCCCCACCTGCCCCAGCCCACACTCAACTGCAGGGCAGAGACTGGGCCTCCGGGTGATACAGAGCCCAAGGGCATGGGCCATGCCAAGTGCTGCTGTGCCCTCCTTCTAATGAGAGGCTGGTGCCCAAGTTAGGGCCCAGAACCCAGCTCTGGGCGACGGAGGGCATTGTACCCTCGCACCCAAAGGCGGAGGCTGTTTCAGCAGCCAGAGAGCAGGCGGATGGCAGAACGGTGAGGACGGCGCCCGGCCTCAGCAGGCTCTGTCACCTGGGTCCTGACCCCGGGCCCCTCCTCCTCGCCCTGCCCCCACACCTGGGGAGATCTGGGGCTTTGGGTATAAATCCTGTAACATAAAACCCACCATTTTTAGCCCCTGAAAAGCAGAGTCCAGGGACGTATAGCACATTCACAATATTGTGCAACCACTGCCGCCACGTCGTTTCCAGAGCATTTCATCTCCCAAAGGAAAGCTCTTTGTCTGTCAGCGGTCACTAGCCATCCCTGCCCAGCACACTAGCCAGCTGTCTGTCTCTCAGCGGTCTATCCGGGACATTGCACATACACGCGAGCACACATTCTGTGGCCTTCTGTGTCTGGCTTCCTGCCCTCGGCAGGACATTTTCCAGGTTCATGACCAGAACTTCATCCTCTAGTGGCTGACAAATGCCCCAGTGTCTGGATGTGTCACTTTCTGCTCATCCGCTCATCTGAGGACACACACGTCTGGGTAGTTTTCAGCTTTTGGCTACTGTGAACAGTGTGGCTGTGAACGGTCACCTACAGATTCTGCTCAAACACCTGTTTTCAATGTGCTGGGTCTACGCCTAGCAGTGGAGTAGCTGGGCTGTATGGTCCTTGTTTACCTTGGGGAGCTCTGAAAACAGATTTCAAAGCTCTTCCCAAAGAGCCTATAACTTAGTAAGCCTGGGGCCAGGCCCGGGAATGTGTATGTCTAAGCTAGTCACCTGTAGTGCCCTGTCACCAGCAAATGAAACCAGCATCCTGTGCGTCACCACCCGCTTATGAAGGCAGTACCAACCGTGAAAAAGAAAAAAAAAATCAGGAATCTTACTATTTCTCTAGAAACTTCTATCTCATCTATCGATGGGTCCTCAACTCCATTCTGTGTCCAGCAAATCTAAGTGGGATCCCCATTACTACCAGTAAGTGGGCATCCTTCCTGCCATGGGGAAAAGGGAAGCCTGGCGTTGAGGGGTCCAGACCCAGGCCAGAGATGGGCTGGAACTCCGGTCTCACCTTGGTTTTCTCACCTGGGAAATGGATGTGAGAGCATCACAGGTGGCTGGGACATCCAGGTGGCATCACACAAACAAGACCCGGGCCAACGCCAGGTGGGTGGGAGGCGCTGTGCAGACAAGGTGCGTGCACTCACCACTGGGGCACCGTGCATGGGGCCCCCGCCTATGGAGGCAGAGGATGTACACGGGCACATTCAAGAAGACCTCAGACCCTCATGTCCTCTTACACAGGCAGGGCTGAGGGTGGTGACGGGGCACCCAGCCATACCTGTTTCCAGCTCGCCTCCCTTCAGCACCTTCCGGGTTTCTGCCGACAGGACCCCTGCCTGGCTCCCGAGAGAGCAGCACTAGGGACAAGCTTTGGGGCCCAATCTCCATGCCCAACCTGGCCCCGCAGGGACCCCAGGGATGTACCTGTGGTTGTGGTGGGTTGACTGCCCTATTTTGTTTTTTTTTTTTAAAGATGTAGTTGTGCTCTAGGATGATGAGAGCTCACACCAGGGCAAAAAAGAATCCCCTATAAGCAGGGAGTTGGCCCACCCTGGGATGGGGACATCCTCTCCAGAATATGCCGGTGCAACCGCTGACCAGGGGTCTCTTCTGGGAGAGGGCATCTGTTTCCCAGACCCCAGCATCCACCGGTTCTCTTCGGAGACCTTCTCCCCTTCTGAGGAAGTGCCCCCCACTGAAGACCTCTCAGCTCAGCCTCACCCACTCCACTGTCCCCTCCATCCTCCCACGGTTCTGTCCAAGGCCTCCGCGTCCAGTCATCCTCCTAGCATGTCACTGTCCCGAAAGTGAGGCACTCAGGCTCAGTTCCAATCCTGCCTGCACCAGAGGTGCGGCTCTGGGACAGCTACTGTCCCCCACCCCGACCCCAGCCGTGCACGGAGACTCAGTGCACAGAGTCTGCTGGGTGCGGTCAGTCTGCCGCACAGCTCCTGCCGGCGGCCCTCGGGCTAGCACACAGGAGAGGATCCACCTCTTTTCTCCTACGTTATGCCTCTCTTAACACGACACCTTCGTGCGGGCAAATCACAGCACAGGCTGCCAGCTCCTGGGCACACCCCTACCCACCCCCAGGCCTCCAGGATGGCTGTGAAGCTGCCCCGTCCTCAGAGGCCCACTAGGATCTTCACACGGCCGCTAGTGAACTTCACCCTGCTACATCACCCCCCATGCGGTTTCCCGTCACGGAGCCACAGTAACCACAGGTCCCTAAAAATCCTGCTACACTAACAACTCTCCAATTCTCGTCCTGTCCCAACTCTGCAACCCTACAGACCCTACGCCCAAGCCTAAGCCATACACGTGTGCACCCCGGCTGGCACAGTCCACCCCGCCTAAACAGGAGAGCCAGTCCCGAAGGCAAGGGACACACGTGGACACCGACCTGGAGGGCCAGGTGAGGGAGTCTCCCAGCAGGCAGGGACAGGGGAGGTCTACCAGGGAGGAGATGCCCAAGTCTGCAGACAAACAGGCACACCCCCGGCTTTCAGCAGGCATGGACTCTGCGGTCTAGCACTTCGTTCCACAATCACATGGCGTACTGTGTTAGAGGAACTCCACAGCAGAGCTGGAGAGACAACCTAAGTCACATAAAATGTCTCTAATTCCGTCACTCACCATCATACTCCGGGTTTCAGGCTTTTCTGGAATAATCTAAAGACGTGCTGTCCCCGAGGCAAGGTCTGGGCATTCCAGCCAGTCCCAGCTCCCACAGCCTGCGGTCCTGTGCCCAGCCGGTCTCCTCACTCCCAGGACCTGCCTGGGCCTGTGCAGGAGCACAGGCTGGGACCCCGACTTCCGCAGTGCTGAGGAGCAGGTGGTGAGCTGTCCACACCTGTGGGGGACAGGCAGTGAGACCAGAAGGCCCCACAACAGACGGTGCCCGAGCCCTGGGCTCTGACACACCCAAGCTACCCTCGGACGCGCGGCCCACCTGACGACCACAGGGCTACCATATGCCAAGTGCTGACGTCCTCCGAGCTGCTTGGGGCACAGAGAGCTCTGTGGGGACCTAAGGGATGCCTGCAAAGTCACGAACATGACCTCTGAGGATGGCCTGTCGCAGGGAGAGGTGGGCCTTAATGACTTCTCCCTCATCCCGTGGCCTGGGCCTTCTTCTTCCCAGGACCTCAGCAGCACTCTGATCCCTCGGGTCTCTGCCCCTAGGGTCAGTCTGTCCTCACCTGTGACACGAAGGCTGAGGTCAGCTAGTTGGCATACGGAAACAGACTGGACGGGCAGGGGTTAAGTATTAATGGGCTCCCTTGGATGAGGCCATGGTTTCCTATGAATGGCACCTGAGAGATAAAATGGCCTTCATCAAAATTAGACACTTTCACGCTTCAAAGGAGACAATCAGGAAAGTGAAAAGCCAACTAACAGAACGAGAAAAAACATTTGCAATTCACATACCTGATAAGGAACCTGCACCTAGAATACAAAAACAAGTCTTACGCTGTGATAAGGAAAACCCAATTACAAACTAACTCCAGACAGACACGTCTCCAGAGAAGACATACAGACAGCCCACAAACAGGAAAAGATGTTCAACATCGTTCGTCTTTAGGAAAACGCAAATCCCAACCACAACGAAGACAGCACTTGACACCCATGTTGTGCTAGAAGGACGGGGCGGTCAGGGGCCTGGGTGAGGGCACGGAGAGGCTGGGACCCTTGGAGCCCGCTCCTGGGAACTCAAAATGGCACCCTCGCTTTGGACAAGAAAAGCTTAGCAGTTCCTCAGAAAGGTAAACGTGGTGCTCTAAGATCTTACTCCTGGCTATTTACGCCCAACAGAGATGAAAACTAATGTCCACGCAAAAACTTGTACTCACTCTTCGCATCAGTTCTCCTAGGAGCCAAAAAGTAAGAGTCCCAGCGTCCACCGATGGAGGAATGGATATACAAGGCGAGCCCATCCGCACGCCACGCCGGTGCCCGGGCCGTGCTGGCCAAGCCACCACACGAGCGCGTCTTACAAACGTGCTACGCAGAAAAAACGGGCCACACATCACGTGATTCCACGCGTGTGAAATGTTCAGGCCAGATATATCCGGGCACAGGAGGAGCTGCCGTGGGCTGGAAGGGAACGGACACAGCTAGACTTCTTGATGGGACAGTCTGTTTTGGGGTGAAGAAGTAGTTCTGGAATCACAAGGGTGATAATTACACAACCTTGTGAATATCCTAAAAACCACTGAATGGGACACGTCGGAGAATTTTATGGGACGTGAATTAGAGCTCAAACCACACTCTCCACCCCACCTCCCCCTGCCGCCCAGCAGGCTGACGGGGACCCTGCTCCAGGCGGTCATCAGGGAGAACTGGGGCGGATGGAAGAAGAGCCTGTTACACCTTCTTTTCAGCTTCATACAGGTAATGCATATTTATTGAAAATTTTCTTCACCGACAATGGTGAAATCAAGACCCCGAATTACAAAACATGATGGCAGTCGAGACTTAGAAAAATAAAGCGAAGATCTATGTTTCACAGATCTGTGCAAATTTCCTTCAAATCTCAGTCTGTCCTTTCATCAAAAAGGAGATCACGGAATCTGTGTTATTTCTCATGATGTCATAGTAAAAAAACCGCATTCCACTGACAAAAAAAATAGCTTTGCTTCCAAATAGCTCAAGTCTTTAAAGTGACTTTTCCCAACAATAAATATAGAAAATAGCCTTTGATGAGCACAGTTCAGCTTGGTCAGAGCTTCCGCTGGTGTAAGGCGGCGCACCCCTGTGGGTCGGGAGCCTCCAGCCAGCGTGCCCGAGGCCCTCTGGGTGGTCTCCCCTGAGGCTGACCCGCCAGCCCCTCCCGCAGGCCCCGGGAGGCCCGCTGAGGACAGACTGTACTCGACCGCAGCTGGAGATGTGAACCCTTCCTGGCGGGCTGCCCCTCACGGCCGTCCTCGAAGGCTCTCTTTGGCTCTCAGGGCCAGCAGGTCTGGGGTCACACGGAGGGGGTCTTCGGCGGGTGGGCCTGCTGCACGAGCTGGGGGCGCTTCACCCTGGGCTTCCTGCGCTTCGGCCGGCTCCTGGCCTTGTTGATTTGTACCACGAAGAAGGCCAGGACCACCATGGCTCCCAGGAAGGCAAACACGGGGATGGTCTGGCCCACCTCCTGGTTGTAGCGACCGGGCATGATCCCTGCAAGAGCACAGCGGCAACGGTCAGGGGCACCCGAGCGTCCGGCCACCGCCTCTCTGCCGCGGAGGCAGACGCATCAGAAAAGAAACGAAATGCAGCAGTGAGGCTCACGGGGCAAACGAATTTTGAAACCTTAGGTGAAGGGACGCGGGTCATGTGCAGAGAACAAATGAGAGATTCTCAGATTAGCCGCTTTGGGAGTGGAGGGGTGGAGTGGGCAGAGGTGTCCTTAGGTGAGGTTTTTGCTCCTTCCTCTCCCTATGCCCACCTTAGACGGGAGCCCAGGACTGGGCCTTCTTCTGTCACACACAACCTACACAAAGGGGTGCGAAGAGCTGCTTCCGGTTTCCCTAAGTGCATGGGAAGATGGAGGAGTCTGGACGCTGGGCAGGAGACGAGCTGCTGGTGTCGGACTAGCTGAGTGGGAGGACGAGGAGGGAGGCTGGGCAGGGCGGAAGGATGGCTGGCCACACCCCGACCCTCCTGGGAAAGCCGACCACAGACGGGACATGCGGTCAGAAGTCAAGAGTGGCACCTGGAGGACGCCTGGTTCCAGAACGAACCACCATCGGTACAACCACCGGACTGCAGGCGAGGCCCTCAGGAGGTGGGCGTCACCACACAAGGCCCCGGGGTCAGAACACATGGCCGTGGCGCCCGTTCCTGGAACCAGGAATCCCACGGGGAGCTGTAACCTCTCGGAAGAGCACAGAGCTCTCCAGAAAAAAAACTGCTGCCCACGCTTTGCCAGAATGACTGGATCCTGGTGGCTCCAGGTAAAAGATGACCTGTCCCAAACGGTCTAGTCAGGCCAAAAGCCACTGCCCGTGGAGGGGATATTCTGTCATTTGGGATGAGGGGGCACAATCCGATCAGCTGAGGGACAGAAACACGCTTTCAGGAGAGCGTCCAGCCCAGGTGGGCCAGAACGGAGAATCAGCGGAGACCTCTAGGCTGAGGGTTTAGAAGCCAGGGTGGCTCATCCACTGGCTGGGACCCAAACCACCCCAGGACAGAGGTGTTCCCCGCATCAGACACATTGGCCTACAGAACTTTGACAAGAGTGTGCAAATTACTCTACAGAAGAATTTCAGGTGTAACACCTGGCTATCACAAAAGTACTTTGTCCTTCTGAATTTGAAAATCACGGTAGAAAGTTCTGAAGGGAACACAGTATGTAATCTCTTAGGCCCACTTCTGGCCGTGCTGATTCACACCACAGAGAAGGCATGGGGGAGCCTGGGTGGCTCAGTGGGTTAAGCCGCTGCCTTCGGCTCAGGTCATGATCTCAGGGTCCCGGGATCGAGCCCCACATCAGGCTCTTTCCTCAGAGGGGAGCCTGCTTCTCTCTCTCTCTGCCTACTTGTGATCTTTCTCTGTCAAATAAATAAATAAAATCTTCTAAAAAAAAACAAAAAAACAAAAAAACAAAGCATAGACCAGATGCTCCCAGGAAGGTGAAGGCAGGCCTACCAGGCCCGCCATGAGGGGGTTGGGGAGAACCGGAACAAAGCGAGTAGGGTCTAGCACACCGAAGCCCCTAAGAACTGACCTCCAGGAATGTCCCAGGCACCGCTCTCTCCGGGAGACAATGGCCTCACTTGAGGGCGGTTCGATCGGAAGTTGGGTAACACCACTTTGTCCAGGTCAATGGAGAGCAGCTTCTGGTGTTTCCAAAGATTACTTCATGAAAACGGATCAAAACAGAGTGAAAATAAGCAATCGCACTAGCTTATGAAGCTTAGCCAACACCTGAGAAGTAAAAAGTGATTTAAGGAGAAAGATGAAGCCATGTCCCACCGACACCGACCTAAGCCCAAGTGCGTAGCACACTAGTGACAGCTCCCAGGTCCCAAGACAGAAATGTCAAATCGAATCTGTACATGTCCTCCTGGGTTCCTAATAGGCCCCAAACGGTCTGCCTCTGCTTAAACTGGACACATGGCCGCGCAGTGGGAGATGAAACCACCCACGAACCTCTGAAAGGAGTCTGAAGCCAGGGCTCCAGGTTGGCAGGAGCTGGCGGGGTTGGCGGGAAGGTGCGTGGACGTCTCTGCCACGGGGCAGCCCAGCCAGCAGAGCCTGCTTTCCGAGGAACCCAGACCAGTGCGGCCTAGGAGGCTCCATGGGTGCTGGGAACCAGCCAGCCTCTGTCCTCAAAGATGTCACCACAAGGGAGAATGAGGCAGACACACAACGGTGGAGCCATCAAGAAGAGCCAACTGTGGGAATACACGCTGGCCTTGCCCGCTGGGCCAGGACGAGGAAGAAGGGCGACGTGTCCACTCTGTAAACACAATGGCCTCACTATGGTAGATGCACCGCTAGTCTGGTTCCTGATGCTGAGACCCAGCAACATTTTGGGGTCACACCTGACGCACAGAGAGGCTGACACGCTGCACAGAGCAGCAGCAAGCCGGCGGGGGTGGGGGCGCCCAGATAAGAGCAGCGCGCGGTCAGTGGGCCACGTGGAGGCGGCTCTGGCCGACTCGGGAGAAAGGAATACAGTGTGTCTGCTGGTTACGAACTCCCCGTTTTTCTGCTTCTCACTCTTCTGGAAGCGGGTCGCTGGCCTTCTACTTCGGCCGACTGAGGCAAAGATACTCCACTCTCTGGACACCTGGGGGAAGGGGCGCCAGGGGTGCCCGGGTCCGGGAAGGGGCTTTATGCGCAGGAAAGGCAGAAGCTCCTCAGCTACCTGCAGCTGGGCAGCTGCTTGGAAAATGCCGGTGGGCACGACAACCTATCCTGCCTCGCAGGACTCGACTTTACCGTTCAGGTTCCATCCTCTGAAAATCAAACTGATGAGGTCAAGTTATGGAATCCAGGCCAGATACGACCCTGTGGCTGAACAGATGCGGGCTGTGCTGTAATTCTGACGGGAGACTCGGCTCTGGAATGTAATTATCCGGAGATGGCACCTTCTAGTTAACAATGGTGGAAAACAGCTCACTGCGTTGTAGTCTTCCAACCAAGGACAGAGGGGTCACTGGGCCCACAGGTTCCTCTCCGGTGTGACCTTCCTGCAACCGCTCTAAGTAAGGACACCCAGTGCCCAACAACGAAACTCAGAAAGGGGTCATTTCAGAAACAGACAGAAACTTGTGCTCAGCACCGGACTGACGGACACCAGGCCTTTCCAGGGCTGTCCAGAGCCGTCTGATGTGGTCTCAGATCTCTCAGCTCCAGAACTGAGACCCAGATGTAGATCTCTGGGGACTGAAAATAATTTTCAGCAAAATGTTTCATGTGAGATAAGGGGGAGCCTGACGGGCAGTTAAGAAGCAATTCCCGTGAGTGCTGGCGGACGCCAATCCCGGGCGTTGCACGGCGTCCTTGACAACTGGCTGGTGGCGGCCAGAGGCCCGACGTGGGCGCGCCTAAGGACGCAGGACAGCCTTATCTGCTTCTGAGTCCCCAGCAGCACTGGGGGGAGAAACGGGGCTTTGGCAATTCCGGCCAACACAGGCTGCCCCGACTAGGAACTGCCGATGACAGCTGGAACGAAGTGTGGCCTGAATGCTACGATAATGGGAGGTTATGAAAAAATGGATGTAAAAATGAGATCTTATCAGAAATTTTTAAATGACGAGATATTAACTAGAATGGAAAACTACTCTGTAATTAAAGTCTCCGGCAGAAACAGCTGATGAGAAGATGACGTGAACACTGCACAATCCACTGTCTTCTGCCGAGCATGTTCTCCAGAGGACACACGGCCCGTGACTGGTGCACTGAGCAGTCTGTTCACGACGTCCGGGCTTCTTCCCCCCAGTGGCTCACCGCGTCGATGGTGGGCCTCTGTCCCCTGCCACCCCCAGCCCCCGCCCACCAAAGCCTGTACACACCAAGACCCAAGCTAAGTGGGCAGCTTGGTAGGGGGAGCCCCGGCGGCCAGGAGGCAGGAGCCGTGCTGCCGGTGAGGCGGACGGCTGCCCGCAGCACTGCGCGAAGGAGAGGCGTGGGAGGACCGCCCCCAGCTGTCCTGGGACACAGGCCCCGCCTCACTGTGCCAGGACCCCAAATCAGGACAAGCCCCCATTCTTCTGTCCAGAAACAGGGAGGAGGAGTGAGGGGGAGAAAACAAGGGAAGCAGTGCTCAGCGGCTGCGGTGCCCAGAGAGAAACAGCAGGAGGAACTCTCGCTGTGGCTTCTGAAAGCGAAGGGAGCAGAGAAAGGAGTCGATGGCGTCCGTAAGACAAAGCAGCAGGCAGACCCGCAGCATCTGGGCACCACACACGCAGGGCGACAGGGACTGGGGGAAGGGCGCAGACACGCACTCCAGGCCAGGCCACAAGCAGGAACGCACACCTCCCCTGAGCAGTCTCGGCCCCCTGGACTGACAGAAGAACCTGTCAGCATTTCAGAATCCGCACCACAAACAGGGAGCACTCGCCTCCCGAACCCCAAACCAGAAAAGTCAGAGCTTCTGTTCAAGTGACAGCACTGTCAGACCTCAGCTTTTTAAGTAAGAATCAAGCAAACCTAACACAATGCTAATTACCCAAAGCACTTCCTTAGGCAGGACACCACCAGACAGCGTAACTGTAAAGGTCGATATGGGGGCTCACCAATTAAATAACATCACAAAATGGCAAGCTAGAAGATCGGATGATTCGATAATGATGTCAGTAAAATTCCATCCTCTCTTACAAAAAAAGAGTAATGAATCACAAACCCCGCAGAAGGAGTGGAAAAGCAGAGGAAGGCACTAACCTGGGAGCCGTCTCGTTTAGAGGCTGTGGCTTGGCCCACGACAGGTGCGGACAGGCCGGCAGAGCCCGAGGCTCTGGGCCTCCCAAACGGGCCTCAAGGACCTTGGAGTACCGGTGCAGGTGGTTCCCTGGGGCGGCAGCAACACCAGCGACACAAAACCATGATTGTTAGGAAGACGCCAGGAGACAAGTGAGGGGCCTTAGCCTGTCTGTCTGCCTGCCAACAGGCCCACCACGTACCCTGGCAACCTGGCTCCCAGACGCTGACCAGTGCCCCCGGGGGACGCATGCTCACTGCTCACAGCAAGTGAATAGAGCAGAAGGGCCAGTCCCTTTCAAGTGGCCACGCCACACGCAAGGCCGTGGCCGGGCGACCTTTACTGACCACACTTCCACACACCTGTAGATATGCTTCTGGAAGAAAAGCTTTCTCTTTTGGAGTGTTTACTTCTCAGGCAAAACAAAAAAAAAATGCGCATCTTTAAATTTCAGAATTTCTCCTATTTCTCAGACCTGTGCTGTCCAGTACTGTAGCCGTGTGTGTGGGTACTGAGCACCTGAAATGGCGTGTCACATTCCAATGGTTTTGGTGTACTGGGCCAAAGAACTTCACTAAAATGAATTTCACCCTTTTCCTTTTACTTTTTTAGCGCGGCCACTGGAAGATTTACAATTTTATCTGCAGCTCACGCTACGCTTCTGGTGGTCCCAGCGGTGAGGACCTGAACACTCTGGCCTGGTGCACACACAGGCCAGCCATGCCCGACACACAGTGGGCAAAGCCACAGGTTGCCATGGCTCACCAGCCAGTGACCTCGACCAGTTACATCTCTCAACTCCTGTCTCTTCATCTATTCTCCCAGAGCTCTGAGAGGCCTGGGGCAGGTGATCCGTGTACCTGGCACTCAGTGAGTGCTCAGAAACGCTGGCCTTTCTTCCCACAGAACCCCAGGAGCCACGGCTCCATCTGGGAGAGGGCATGATACATGCTAACTTGGGGAAGCACGAGAACCTCGGAGTTCGCGTCCTTTCTAATCCCACAACAGCCTGCCTGCGAACGCTGGCGACAGCCGGGGGCTCGCCACCAGGCTCTTTCTCGCAGGCGCAATGGCCCACACGCACTCACCTTCCATCCTCTCTGGAGTGGCCGAGCCGGCTCCGCGGGGAGGGCGCTGCCGGTTCCCGGAATGACTGAGGCTGGGAGGGGTCACCCCGTAAGACGTGTACTGAAGGAGTGCATCGAGGAGCCAAAAGCAGTCTGTGGGTTCAATGGGCATGTCGTTTAGGGATTAGAGTGTTTTCAAGGAATGCCTATAGGAAATTAAAAGCCCCCCAAGTGAGGAGAAACAGGACGAGAGGAGATCACCTATTCCTGAGAAGCCCACACCTTCTGCGGTCAGCGCCAGCCCACAAACACCAGCACGACGGACAGGACCTGACCGTGGGCTTCACTCCTAGCCCCGGGGCTCACGCGGGTCAGGGCCACTGGGCACTGGGCTGGACAGGCTGCCCGAGTGCCACCTGGCTCTGGGCCCCTCGCCATGAGGACAGAAATCCCACCCAGGGACGGCCGGACCCGCACCAAAGCTGCTGCCAGTTCCCAGAGGCTGTCCTGGGGGAACTATCGGGATCTACACTTTGGGGGGTGAGCCGGGACCACCGTGTGCACGCCACTGGAAGTGAGTTCAAGGTCAACACAAGGGCTGAGTCTAGTAATCTGGGCCGCTGGACCCCACACACAACACAGGGGAACAGGAAACAGTCATTCTGAGGGACCCAGCAGGGAGTCCAGGCGCTGGGCTGCAGCCGACGGCTCATCACAGACCCACACGAGGGTCCTTGGGTCAGGACACAGAGATGCTGCGGTGTCTGTAAACCGGGCCCCGCTGCCTCCATGCAGGTTAGGCCCACGCCTGCCACCGCAGACCCGGTGCCACCAGCAGGGAGGGGCTGGACAGGCCGCCAACAGGCGAGGCTAGCAAGAGCTTCACTCCCTCAAGGGCGCTCTGGCTGTGTGTGTGAAGTGCGGCCGCTGGCAGACTTCGAACCAGGACAGTCCTCTCAGGCATTTAAAATTTTAATAAAGACTCTTACCAGGAGATCTCCAGTCTTAAAAGGAAATCTTTATGGAAATAGAACATTAATCTTCTTTCAACTGTGACCTTAACCTTTTTTAAAAAGAGCAACCATATTCTAAGGATTTACACAAAACGCTAGGAATCAGTTAAGTTCAACTTCACTCAGAGATGCACGCACACCAGCTCACGCTCCAGGGGCTTGGCCCTCTGCTCCGGCCGGGCTCTTATTTGCAAACGTGAGGCTCCGGCCCCCTCCCCAGCCCCATCGTCCAGGGAGCCCGAAGGCGAGCTTCAGACCTGGCTGTGTCGGCACCTCACCGGGCCAAGACACGCAACACTTTCACCTCCCGTTTCCTCCTTCCCAGCGAGAAATAAACAGTCTGCGTCCGGGCACGAAACCCCCAATGTGGAGGATGCACAGATACAGAAAAAGCTGACGAACGCCAAGGACCAGGCCCCCCTCGCTAGCTCCCCCAACTGAGGAGGGTACCGAACGCCCCCCCACTAATGAAGGCTCCCAACAGCCAAATCCCAAGTCTGGGAGGAGAGCTGGGCGCTGGCCCTCCCAGAAGAGTGGGTCCGACCTGGGAAGGGCACCACACGTGCAGCGCCTGGGACGTACAGACTCCAGAGGGGGGCGCAGCAGGTGGGAAGGGCAGAGCCAGGCAGAGAGCCTCTCCGCGGACACACGACGGTCCCAGCGTCCGTCCTCCCGAGGACAGCAGCGCGGCAGGGAAGGCAGCAGGGCCTACACACGCGGGTCTGGCTTACTCTGCGTGTCTAGACTCAGACACCCAGCGAGCGAGCCCCATCACCAAGGCAGCTGGGAGCTGCCCGGCCACACCAGGTGTGCATGCCCCCAGATCTCCCAGCCCCTTATCGGTGCCTTTACAGGGCCCAGGGGGACAAAAGGTTTGGCCACCAGTTGGGAAGCCCATGCTGCTTCGCGGCCGCACCCCCGGTCCTCACCCTTCTGTCGGTGACTGTCGTCCAGGCAGTTGGAGTCTCCGTACAGCACGATGCGGCCTCCGCCCTCAGTGGGAATCTGATAGAGTCCCAAAATGGGCACGTTTTCAACAACTGCTGTCTCCTGCTTCAAAACCTCCAATCCTAAAATAATATCACAACAAAAACAAAAATGCTGAGGAATGAATTATTTTTTTGTTGCTGAAGAATGAAATGATTTTCCAATCGCTACTTGACATTTAATCCACACAACGAAGAAAATAAAGAATGAAAAAGAAAAAAATCATAGCAAAATCTCATATTCAATCTCAACAGTGCAAACTTTTACAACAGAAAAACATCTTTAGTGCCACTAATTTGGTTTCAGCGAAACTCACTTCTATGTGTATACACATTTCCCTGCCATTCTCTCACATCTTCACTTGAAACGGTGGAACACAGTATTCGTAATCCTGAAAACACACATTTATGTCCCCTCTGATTCTGACGAAAGGCCTACATCCTGGGGCTGCATTCACAAGGGGTCGCTGGCCAGGCAGCTCTTGGCACACAGAGGCATCTCTGTGGCTTCCGTTACATATCCTTAGGTTTTGCATTTTATTATTAAAAGCAAGGCCAAATATAACTGATTTTTAGAACAGATGCCCACCTATTTTAAATTCAGATTGAAGGCACTTGTTATATCCGCCCCACAATTACAAATGTTCCAACAGCAGAGCCTTCTTACCTCTGCCCAATCAGATTTCACAGTTTACAGTGGCCAACGAACCAAGAAGTCAAAAACGCATCAGTGCCATGGGCAGCAAGTGCCCGGGACCTCACTGCACACCCTACAAGGCTAGCCCTGAAGCCAAAACGTCCCTCTGCACCGCACAGACGCACACCTTCTGCGTGGTGTTTACTGTGCTGGTAACACCTAAAACCAGTCTGTGGCTATAAAAATATGACATATCTTGGTCTCTGTGGATAATCCCACAAGGAACTAACTGGAAGAGAAAACAAGATTCTCTTCCCTTTCTGGAGGGAAAGACAGAGCAGGAAAACAGATGAAACGGGGCAAGTGCATACTGCGTTGCCATGCGGCCTCGTGGTAAGTCAGAGGTTTCTTTCTGACAAAGGGTCCCCCCTGATTCGGTATAACCCAGATTTCCACATTCTTATTTCGTACCCAAAAGATTATTCAACTTACAGGCTACTTGGAAATAAAAAGCCCCTTAGAAAGCACTTCAAGGTAATTAATTTTTATTTTCACCACCAGAACAGCAAAACACACACCCTGAAATCTACAGTGATTCCCCCCACCCTCCCACCCCCGAACCAGGCAGCGACAAGCCAGCAACGTGACCACTACTCACGCCCGCACCAGAAACCACGCTGCCCTGGGAGAAACAGATTCCAAAAAGAATCACCAGCCCATGGTAAACTCTGCCTAGCAACTGGGAACACAGAATCATTGACGTGCCTGAAGTTAAAGTAGAAATCTTATGAACACAGATCTATTTACTGACTGACCTTGCCTTGATGAAGGGAGGAAAATCACTCTAGGTAATTAAAAAATACATTCTACTGTACAAATGCAAACGGAGGACAGGGAAATCCTGCTTCCTTGTCACTTTTAACCAAAGAAACTGTCCCTAACTTCTAATTATAGGTAATAGCGACATTCATTAGCAGCAAAACTGCAAGGGAAGAACTTTCTTTCCTTCAAATTCCTTGTTTTCCCCTTCTTCTTAAGATTTTAAGTCATCTCTACATCCAGCGTGGAGCTGGAACTCCCGAGCCCCAGATCAAGACCCGCTGCTCCCCCGGCTGAGCCAGCCAAGCGTCCCGCTGCCCTTCAAATTTTTAAGAGAATTTTAAAAGATGACTCTGTAATTAATATTCTTCACACAGCTAAGAACTTTAAAACATGGTCAGCAGTTTTCTAAAATTTTAGTGATCTGGCAATCACAGAGACAGAACAATTCACAAATAGTAACAAATTTTAAGCAACTTTGAAGGTTGTTAAAAAGTCACACATAGGGACGCCTGGGTGGCTCAGTTGGTTAAGCGGCTGCCTTCGGCTCAAGTCATGATCCCAGCGTCCTGGGATCGAGTCCCGCATCGGGCTCCTTGCTCGGCAGGGAGCCTGCTTCTCCCTCTGCCTCTGCCTGCCATTCTGTCTGCCTGTGCTCACTCTCTCTCCCTGACAAATAAATAAAATCTTTAAAAAAAAAAAAAAAAGTCACACATATTCAACTGCCCTCCTGAAGGAGTTCTATTTATCTTGCAATGATCACTGCCCACAACTGTTCAAATTCACAATCTCTGCAGCCCCCAGAGCCACCATCCGGAAATCCTGCCTAAAGCAGGTAGCATACAAAAAATATTACAATAAGCTTTTTAAAAACACAAAACTGCTAAGAGATATAGGATAACGAAAATGTTCTAGAAGCAGGTAAGAGCGATGCCTATACATCTCTGTGAATACGAAAGCCACAGAATTATACAACTCAAAAGAGTAAATGTGGGAAAAAAAAATTTTTTTTTAAAGTCAGTGTGAGTTTTATGCAAATAAAGTGCTTATTTAAAAAAAAAAAAAAAGGAAACTAAAATAGCATTCCTTACCTTGGTCTTTAAAAGTCTGTGTTATCACTATGCCATCTTCTGGAAACTTAGCGATGCTGCACCCTGATGCGTAATACACTGGGGAGAGAGCGGTATCCAGAGTTACGAGAAGGTAGGGACGCGCACACTTTATCAACAGCTACACGTTCACCTCAAATGCAGTCTTTCTATCAGACGGTTTTTCGAACATTGTTTTTAATTCTAAGAGGCTGCTGCTACCGCCTGTTCACATTTAAACAACAGGTTTAACCCCCAAATTCAAGCTGAAAAAAATGCTACTAACATGAGGTCTCGGGCTAGAATTCGGAAGTCCAGGCATTCAGTCAGGACGAGCGGGGGGTAACAGTAATGCTTAGGATACTGTTCTAGAGACAAGTTACCAAAACTAACCTGCGGGGAAACCTCTTCAGAGAGACATGCAAAGTGATTTCCTGAACAGAATTTTATAAATCAGGGACCCCTGAGGGCTTCCCTCTCCAGGAACAGACGTCAGTGAGGTCAAGAACCTGACCAGTGGCACCAAGATCAGGAAGGCCTGCAGACAAGACTCGCATTTGAAGAATCTGGATAAAGTGACAGCTTTACTGCAGATGTCCTCTTTGAAGACACTGACCCGTTCTGCCTACAGACCCTCCTTCTTCAGGAATCACACCGTCCTCTCCCTCTGAAACCGTGTCTTCAAAGACATGTGGCTTATGCTCTCGCACCCTGAGATCATGGCCCCTTTTAAAGAACAAACGAAACCTTACTGTCATGGTTTGCTAAAGTAAAATCCCCTTCGTATAGGCCATCGCTGAACCCCATGTTCCAGACGGAGAGAAGTTCGTTCAGAGCGGGGACATTCGCCCCTCCAGTGTCCGGCATCCACCACTGCCTAGGGAACAAACAGGGGGCTCGGGCTGTGAGGGGTTGCAACCACTCTCCCACCACACACACACACACACACACACTCACTCACTCACTCACTCTCGGTCTTTTCATGATGAGACTAAATGTAGCTGCCAGGATCCAGCCTGGGCACACTAAGGTTTCAGCTGAAACCCCCCGTCTGGGCTTGAGCGACAATGGAACATAAACGCTTCAGCCAGTGCACAGAGTAAATGAAAGTTAAACGCACTGGACGCCACGCACCACGTGTGCACAAACACACCACTCCAGAGCGTGGACCACAAGCGGGTTCGTGAAGAGATGAGAAAGAAGTCTTTAAAGCTGAAGTCACAGACTCTGAAGAAAAACCTGTTCTAATGAAACATTCATAAAACACTGGGAATACCTGATCGGTAACTAATCTCAGCAGCATCGCTGTGGGGGCCGGGGAGCCTGCTCCAGCCCCGCGTCTGAGCCTGTCTCTGGCCACGGAAGGACTGCCTTCAGACCAGTCCTCTTAAGTACATGCTGGACAGAATTTAATCCTCAAAAGGCCAAATTTCTTATCAAATACCAACTCCCATCAGTACCTTGTGTTTTCGTCGTAAAACTTGACTTTCCTCATGACAGACGTGTTGTACCAATCACTGAAGACAATGAGTGAAAGGCCATTGTCCACGTCCCGTCTCAGCTTGGCGACCTCCTCAGGGAAGTACTCCTCCTCGCTGTCCACCATAAGCAGAGTTCCTGAGGGACGGATTGCGGGTGGTGAGACTCTGTGCCTCTGAACCGTGGGACTCGTGGCTTCAGAAACACACTCATTTCCCTGGCGTCCGCGTCTCAAGCTCCAGCTTCTAATATTTTGGTCTGAAGCCCCCATACCCCACTAAAAGGGGTTAAAAACAGAGGACAAGGGTTCAAAGCACAGTCACCTACTAACAACGCTGGCCTCCTTCGTGTGTGACGCCCAGGTACACAGATGTCACTCGATGGAGAAGCAGCAAAATTCAGCACTAATTTCTTTCAATTAAAATGAATACATAAAACACACAAATATCCTTGTCCCGAGTTTGCCAGTGTCCCCTTTCCCCAAAGGTTACCACTGTCACCGCCGGAGGGAAGGCATGTCACTCTGCCGCAGAGTCCAGCTGCAGCCTCCCCGAGGACGGCAGGCCCCGCACCCGCCCCCTCTCGCTCAGCCCGCAGTCCGTCCTTCCCCACACCGCGACCCAGTGGGAAGGACACGGGGCCGGCGCCCGCGGCGACTCACCATACTGACTCGCGTCAAAGCACGTGAAAGGGGAGCCGAGGACTTCGACGAAGTAGCCCATGCTCCTCAAGTGCTGGTACATGTCCCTGAAGTTGGTGTGGATGTGGTCGCCGTTCCTGAAAGACAACACGCCCCGCACTAGATGGCCCCGTCCCTGCTGGTGACAAGGGCTTAGCCGGCCACACAGCTGGCTTCCCACGCCGGGCGCCTCACACCCCGCGGCTCGCCGCCAGAGGGGCCTGGGGGCTCCCGCCGACCACACGGAGCTCAGCCTCCGCAGACCAGTGCGCTCTGGGCTGGCACGTGAAGCGGGTGGTACCAGGCAATCTCGTATATGGCATGAGCTCGGACTGACCGAAGAGCTGCTCTGCCAAGTGCCCTGACGCGTCATGCTGGCGGCGGCAAGCATGGAGAGCCACCGCCAGACCGGCACGGGAACGCAGAGCCTAGTGACATTAACTGGGCAGCACCAATGTGGATCACCTCCCCATCCCTTTGCCCAGAGCTCACTCGTGTTCCCACTGTGCCCTCTCCATAAGCCCCGAGCCAAGCGCCCCATGGAAGCTCCGGGGCCTCCCTGAGCCCTCCAGAGCCAGCTCACCCACAGCACGAACCCATCTTCTCTATGACGTGGCCCCTACCTTGGCCCACCAACTTCTCACCACTCCTGCGCCCCCACCTCTGGGCCGAGCCTTCCAGAGACATCTTCATGAAAAGCCCATCACACCTGTGAGTGCCCTGCCCCCATCTTTCAAGGCTCCCTCCTCCCCCACTTCCAGCATTAAGTCCAAACTCCAGTACTTACAGAGAGCCACCGTGGGCCTGGCGTACGGGCCACAAGGAAGCCAAGCCAGCTGCCCTGGAGGGCTGGCCGAGGGCTGGCATGGGGCAGGGTCTGGACAGTGGAGCAAGACATAGCAGGGAGTCTGGCATGTGAACGAGTCTGGAGAGTTTGAGGCCAAGAGTGCTCGAATCCCTGCTTTTTAAGATTACCAGGGCTGCTGCATGGGGAACGGACTTTAGGGGAAGAGTGAGACTGGCCAGGAGGCTGCCGTCCAGGCAGGCAAGGACAATGACCTGGGTGCGGACGGGGCGGGGAGCAGAGGCACAGCAGCCGGCCGGGCAGGACTCGGGGACACGCTGAGAAGGCAGGACTGAGAAAGCGTGCTGACTGACCCGGCGGAGTAAGGAAAGACAGCAACTGAGGACGAGCTCGGGGGGTGGGGGGGGCTAAGGTCAGGCTCGCCTGTTGTGGGAAGACAGGAGGTAAGCATGACAGCTGGTGGCTGCTCACCAGTCCAGAGGGTCATTCTTCATCCTCAGGTTATCCCTGGGGAAGTAGCCGGGTGGGTAGCGGAGGTTGTGGTACTGGTCCCAGAGAACTCTCTTGCTCCGCGGAGGAGCGGGAATGATCTTCACCTTAATCGGGAGCTTCACGGTGGAAGTCTGTTCTGCGCCATTTTTCGACTGAAATAAGTAACAGGCATTCAAACTGCCCCTTTTGCTCAGAAGAAACTGTCAGGCTTCTGGGTTTAAAAAAATCACTTCTAGGTATCAATTTATGCAAATAATTTGAACACAAGCATTCCTAATGACAAATGTGGGAAGAAATATTCACATGTCACAGTTCATCCCATTAAATCCTTCCTTTCAGAATTTAAGATGTAAGATTTAAGGCCCCTTGTTTCTTTTCTTTTTTTTTTTTTAAAGACATCTATTTATTTATTTGACAGAGAGAGAGAGAGAGAGAGATCACAAGTAGGCAGAGAGGCAGAGAGAGAGGGGGAAGCAGGCTCCCCGCCGAGCAGAGAGCCCAATGCGGGGCTCGATCCCAGGACCCTGAGATCATGACCTGAGCCGAAGGCAGAGGCTTTAACCCACTGAGCCACCCAGGTGCCCCAAGGCCCCTTGTTTCTAAAACCTACCGGACTACACGGGTTTGGCCCCACAGCCCCCTGTAGAGCACGAGTATTTGTGCAATCATTCTGAACTTGAACTCCTGCATGAGATACTCTGATCTGCTGTGGCTCACAAGACCATGGAGGCAGCCCTACTCACTGCTGAGTGGGCTCTGAAACTCCAGCTGCTGCACAGGCCCGGGCAGCCCCGACCACGGCCTGCAAGCCTCATCACACCCGTCAGCCGGCTTCAAATCCCAGACCCCAGGCACTCGGCCTGCACCTCCCAGCACCACCCCCCACTTCCTGGCAGGAGCCGGTGGAAGGTCAAGGGCAGGCCCCCCCCCCCCCCCCGCGCCCCCCCCCCCCTCCGCCGGTGAAGCCACGGTGACCGTGACGTGGCCCTGCGCAACGCCCTCCCACGAAGCTGCCTTCTTGGTGACAGAGATAGAGATGGCCAGGTAGCCGGACCACGGCCATAACACGGAGGAGTATGAGAAAGCAACTTCTATGTTGTCGCCATTCTGCGGTAAGTAGGGCTGCCAGTCAGGCTGCAGAGAGAACCATGCAGAGGCTTCAGTGAGACGCTCACCTGCAGCCTTCCCCATCTCGGCCTCAGACCCCTGCTCCTCTCAGCAGCGCCGAAGGACACTTATGTTCCGATCCTAAACTACCTACAACCGGAGCAGACTAGCTCAAGTCTGGAACAGCATCCATTAGAACAGTCTAGAAACAACTAATTTGGACAGTCTCCGATGGTAAAGAGGATTTTTTGCCAAGCTTAAAAAAAAAAAAAAGACAATGGTTTGGCAAAGAACTTTTATCTGATAAAGAACATAAATAAACAAAAACTCTCCAATTTGAGAACAATTTTTAATTATTTGTATGCTTTAAAAATCACAGCAATATAAAGTAAGAAAATACTAAAATGGTGTGGATTGACTGTCCAAACTCAGACCACACAGCCAGTGGCCGGGCAGGCAGGTCTCTGCAGGGTGCCCGGAGGGAGAGGGGGCCTGTGGCCAGGCAGAGGGGACCATGTGAGGAGGCATCTGGAAGAAACAGAGACTCGCTCCTACGAAATGGACCAGTATTTCAAACCAACCTAAATTACTCATTTCCCTCACAAGTCAGAGAGTAATATTCTCCCAAGTCAGCATATTTAAAAAAAAAAAAAATCTGAAAAAGATGGTGTTTGTAGGATACGGCACCACAAACATTGAGGAAGGAAAGGGATTTGTGACAAATGCTCCAGGGATCACTGGTTAACAACAGAAAAAAGTTAGTTTTTATCTCTTATGACATGTATCAAATGAATTCAACAGTGAAGAGAAAAGTAAGCATCTTACAAGCATAAAAGGAATAGTAATACAAAATAAAATCAAGATTTTTGTCCTACTGTGGAGAAAAAAGTTTCTAATTTTTGAAACGAGAAATTATGAAAGATGAAAATTCAAGCAATAGCAAAGTGTGGAACTTGTACGAAACCAAAAAGAACTATGTAAATAACACTACCACTAGCGTCAAAGAGAAAGACACTCATCTGGGAGAAACTGTTACGTATAACGCAACAATGGTTAATTCTTCTAGGACAGAGAGAGGTTCAGATCGACAGAAAAACCCTGAATTCCAGCAGGAAGAACAGGTCACGGGAATGAAAAGCTACCTCACACAAGGGGCCATATAACCGGGGAACCAACCTGGAGACCGCCACCTCCCAGATAACCGGAGAAGACCTCAGAAGCAAAACATGCCTTTCCTCCCCTCTGAATTTAAAGTTAAAAGATGAACCACCTTCAAACAAACCAAACGTCCACCAACTGATGCATACACAAACGTGGCCCAACCACACAACAGCTATCACTCAGCTCCGAAGAGGAACGAAGCACCGACGACCTAGAACACAGATGAACCACAAAGATGCTGCGCGAAAGGCCAGTCACGACGGGCCACACCGGGTGTGACCCCATGTGTACGGGCTGTCCACAAGCAGCAGCTGCAGAGACAAAAGGCCCTCAGGAGCTGCCCAGGGCTGGGAGGAGGGAGAATGGGGAGCGACTGCTAACGGGGCTTTTCCTTTTCCGGCGATGAGAACGTTCAGGAATTACAGAACATCAATAGTTGTGAATATACTAGGAGCTCCTGAATCACTTGATTTAAAAGGCTTCATTTTATGGTATGTGGATTTTATTTCGATTTTTAACAGCCTCATGGAATTAAAATTAAGAGCTGTCCCGGCCCGTGCAGACAATGGAGCCCTCTGCAGAGTGCTGGCAGGTCTGCTGACAGCAGCGTGCACGGACCTAACCCCTGGCAAGAGTTCAGTAGAGTGTACCAAGGGCCACAGTAATGTCCACGCTCTCTGACTCGGGATTCCACTCCAGGGAGTTCCCGTCAGAAACGTATTTCAGAAGAAAAGGAAACCGCGTATGCAAAGATGCTCAGTGAGACATTTACAGCCGGAAACCCCCAGCTGTCCAAGCCCCGGATGCAGGCCATTTCCCACAGGGCCCAGGCAGCTAACGTGACACTAAGCAGTCACAGGTGCAGCCTCTGCGTGTGGACAGATGTGACATCAAGAATTCATACTGTGAAGAAGTGTGATACGGAAACCGTTGGCAAGTTTCTGAGCTCTGGTGACGATATTTCAAATCACACCCCAAGGAAGGACACTCGGATCCGTGCTCAGTGGAAATACTCCGCCAACAGAGGACGAGGCCTGAGAGTGAAGAGAGTTCTGTTTTGTCTTTTACGGACAACAAAGTAGAAATCTCTTTTAATTTAATGTCTGGATTATGTAAACCTGCACTGTAAACGCCCATTTTTGTACGCTCATCACAATTATCTTGAAAAGAACAGCTTATTCCCTGAAGGCTAAAAGAAGGGTTTTGGGTTAAAAAAAAAAAAAACGACAGTAGGTAAATTATGATTTAGCACAGCTCTGTGATATCAAATAGGTGTGAGCAAGGGCCCCGAGGCTGTGCGGAGTTACATCTGACAACATAATGAGAACAGAGAAGATGAGACAAAACTTGGGCCTTACAGAGAACAAAAACACATACCTGAGATAAAGGCTGGAAAATAATAATTTGAAAACAGTGGTCAGGTTAGTGTGCTGGGGGGCTGGAAGTGATTTCCCTGCTCTCTTTTCCTAGTCCTTTACTATCATGATAACGCTTATGCGGGAGGTAAAAGAAAAATTACAAAAACAAGACTAAAAACAAGAACACCCCTTTTCAACTAGAGGGCCCATTCGTGCTCACTCAAGAACACAGTAATGACAGGTGGCCATTTAATTACAGGTGGGAAATCATATAATGAAGAATCAAATATAATTAGTCCATTCAGGAGCCAAGTTTGAGATGCCAAAGTCAAAAAGTACCAAGTTGGCTCCATGAATTTATTCTGAGCTTATCAGTTTCAGACTCAGGAGAAAAGAAGTCACCGCTTCCACACCCTAGCACCCAGGACAGGAGGAAACCTGCCCTGCTTTAACAGGCGAGAGAGGGAGACAAGGCACAAAGGCTGGGCCATGTCTGGGTTCGCTACAAGCCCGAGAGCGGTGCCACCTTATCCACAATCCTTCCCGTGACGCCCATGCCATTCAGGACGGTGACGTTGACGATCGTTGGCATCCCTCCGTAGTAGATGGGCTGGGAGCAGTACGGCCACATGTAGGGACACTCGGTCAGATCGATGTAGCTGGGGCTCAGGCTGAAACAAAGAACACTGGGTCAGAAAAGGACAAAAAGGCACTAGAGCTGCAGAAGCACATCTGTGTGGGGACCCGAGCCAGAGACAGCTGCTCATAGGGCCGCCCTGGGCTGACACCCAGGGACCTACTTCGCAACACTCCCTATGCTCAGAGGCCACCAGGCCGGCCTGCCCAGACTGCTCGTGTGTGGCACGGTGAGCGGGAAGCACCTCTTTCCTTCCACGATTCTGGAACTCTGGAGGCCCTGGCTGGCACAGAACCACCCCCAGGGAATACCCAGGACCCAGAGTCTCGAAGGACAGCACGTCGCATCCCTGGGGCAAAGACAGACGTTTTGGAACGGGAGCTCACAGATGGGTGGCCGTGTGGCAAAGACACAGTAAGATCCCGGTTTCACATGGACACAAGAATAAACTCCACACACCAGAGAAACTTGAGGATACAGAAGGACGCAAACACAAATTAGAAGAAAACGTGGGTGAATTCCTTGTACTTTCGTGCAGAGAAAAGCTTTCTGTGACTCAAAATCCAGGCTGGCAACACCAGCAAGAACCTAACAAATGTGGCTACTGGAGAAACACACTGAACACAACAAACACTTCACAGCAAGTCAAAAAACCGACACACGGAGAGAAAGATCTGCAGCGCGTATCGCTGACAGAGGCTCAGTGACCCTGCTCTGTAAAGAAGTCTTCAAAACTGAGGAACAAAACCACACAGAAAATCAAAGAATAAGCAGATCCTTCCCAAGAAAGGGATAAAAACAGCCCTTCAGTACGAAGTGCGCCACCTCACTCAGAACCAGACACGGATGAAAGCAGCGCTGAGTGCCGCTCTGTCCCCCATCAGACTATCAGACCGGCCGCTAGTTAAGCACGGAGGGCGTCCTGCGGCGGGGGCTCCGGGAAGCAGGCCCGCACGCGCCTGTGGCTGAGGCCCGCCGCCAGGCACAACCCTTCTGCAGCGGGGGCAGGGCGGGACCTAACAAACCCCCGCACTGTCTTACCGTGGACCCAGCCCCCCCGGCTCTGCCCCTCCCGAGGACAGCCCCCCTGTGCAGCTACAGTGCGCGGGCGCGGCGGCGCTCCCTGCGGCAGGCCATCAGCACGCGCCGCGAGTCATCCGAACGCCCACAGAGAAGGAAGCAGCTGAAGAGACAAGGCCCGGTCTCGGCGAGCTGACACGGAGTGATTTCCAGGATGCTGTTAAGTGAAAAAAACAAAAAGCAAAAAAACATGTGCAGTGATGTTGTTCTTAACAGAGGAAAAGGGAGGAACGTACACGTGTATCTGCTCATTTGTGCAAAAAGAAACACAAGAAGGATAAACCCAAACTAATGAGACTGGTACCCACACGGGGTGGGTGGGGACCGGGTGGAGAGATGGGGGAGTGGGAGCAGGAACGGGGCGGGGGGGGCTCCCCTGTGCACCTCGACGTGGGGGGATCCACAAAGAGACACAAACTAACCAACTGGATCAAAACTGAGCGGGAGGGAGGGGTGGGATGAGCAGCGAAGCACCAGGAAGCACCACAGAGGCGGCTGGAGTCCTCGGGGGCACAGCAGGGCCACGTGCCACACAGCCGAAGAGACAGAGACCCTGCACTCCAGTCAGGACAGCTGTGTTTCATGACGGGAGGGCGCAGCCATTCCAGAACTCTGCGGCACAGACCGTGAGGACTGAGCGAGCAGGCGAACGCTCCGTGCCGGCGCGGGGGAGAAGCGCGGCCCCCGTAAGGAGAGACGCGCCGGAGAACCGCCGCCTGGGCGGGGCCGGGGAGCGATGGATCCGTGAGCTCCTACCCACAGCGACAGACAGACAGACACCAGTGTGGACACCATGAGCACGCACTGCCCAGCCGTCTGCTACAAGGGCCGGCAAAGCCACAAGCCCAGCGGCCGGGGGCGCACTGCTGCGGGGCGCTGCTTCCGGACACCCCCTCCCATGGCAGGGTGGGGCTGCGAGCGGAAACAAGGAACACCCCGGCCGGGGCTGGAAACGGGTGCTCAGCCCGGGCTGCAACAGTGAGAACGTGTTCAAAACACAAGTGAGGAGCGCCGCAAAGAGACAGCAGCCAACTAGAAGGAGCCTCCAACGGGTCCCAAATCTGGGACGATCCGAGCAACAAAATCAACAATGGTATCGATGGCTCCAATCCAGAGGAAAACAAACCCCCCCATGCCCTCTCTGATATAAACCAGTGGGTAAGCAAATACAGGAGAGAAAAGGGACAGCTCTTCCTTAGAGAATTTCAACTAATAAACACAGGAGGAACGAGAGAAACAAAGTCAGCAGAGCGCAACCTCTAAATTAACACTGTTACAGGCAAGAACCAGCAATGGATGTGGAACCCGTGAGTCAAAAGACGTTAGAAACAGGATCTCCGGGCGCCTGCGTGGCTCAGTCAGTTCAGCATCTGCCTCTGGCTCAGGTCATGATCCCAGGCTCCTAGGATCAAGCCCGGCATCAGGCTCCCTGTCCAGAGCAGAGCCTCCTTCTCCATCTCCCTCTGTTCCTCCCCTCTGCTTATGCTCACTCACTCTCTCGCTGCCGCAAATAAAAATTTTTTTAAAAGAAATTAAAAAAAAAAAAAAAAAAAAAAAACAGAAAAAGAGAAGAAACAGGATCATCTCCAAGTGCGCCCACACAATACACTTAGCAATCACAGGGGACGGGGGAGGGACCTGGCAGGTGCCACCTATGGAGCCAGGAGCCCTGCTGCTCAGATCTGCTGCAGGAGCACGGCCAATGGACCCTCTGCCATGTCTGTGCTGGGGCAAGCCGCCCCCTGCTGCCCCCCGGCCAAAGCTGAGCATGGGGGGAACCAGAGCAGTCCCAGCCCGAGACACAGGCTCCTCAAATGGGCCACTCTGGTTCAAGAGCTCCTCATCAGTGGACACACTCTGGGACCTGTGCCGTGGCAGCCCTCAGACTCTTCCTGTCTCCTTCCCATTGTCCTTCCTAGGTCCCTTCCCTGTAGCTGATCTCACAGACATGCCCTCCTCCTCGGTGCCTGCCTCCTGGAGGACACAGAGGGACGCACCACCTCAATCACACGAGGTGAATGGACACCACCAGCCGTAAGAGGAACAGGAACTGAGGAAGTGTCCTCGCAGGAGACCAGACATATGGGCCCACCCGGTGTACTGCAGGATGGTGGCTGCATCCTGGACCCGGAAAAGGATGGGACACACAGCGGGTGACATGAGTAGAGTCTGGAGATAAGCCCATGGTAACAAAGCAGTGTTAAATTTCCAGGCTTTGAGACTGGCACCGCGTTCCCTAAGCTGTAGTCCTCAACGTACTCTTTGTGACTTCACTGTAAATCTAATTATTTCAAATAAAAATTTCAAAATAAAAAACAAAACCAACTCTGACTAAAAATACATAACCTCAAACTAACCATGAGAAAACATCAGGTAAACTCACATCGAGAGTCAGTCTACTTACTGCCCACTATGTAAGTAACCAGCACTCCCAAACGAGTCGTGGTCACGTAGCAAAAGACAGATGAGCTACAAAAGGCTGGAGGGACTGGTAAGGCAGGGCAAGAGCTCAGGCCTGAATCCCGGCCAGATGGACACAGCGCACCGGGGCCCGGGTGCCTGTGAGCCTAGCCTATGGCTTCATCACAGCAGAGTGTCAGGGCTCCCTGGCTGGCTCCAAGCGTTCAAGTACTGTCAGCAAAGGTGCTGGCATCGGGGAAGCTGGGTAAAGGATAAGTGACAACAGCGACACTACCTTTGCAAATTTCTGCAAACCTAAGATTATTTTAAAAGAAAGTTCTGGGGTGCCTTGCATGGCTCAGTCAGTTAAGCGACCGACTCTTGATTTCAGTTCAGGTCATGCTCTCAGGGTCCTGGAATCGAGCCCTACGCTGGGCTCCGTGCTTAGCAGGGAGTCTGCTTGAGGACTCTCTCCAAAATAAATCTTTAACCAAAAAAAAAAAAAAAGAGTATAAAGAAACCAAATCAGTATCTTAAGCTACGTGTGTTCCAAGCAGCGAAACGTGAGCTGAACCGCACTTTGGCGGCATCGTCCCCTCAGCAGCGGCGTCCGCCCTCCCCGAGGGTCCAGCGCAGTGCGATCAGTGTCCAGCTCCGGCCCCGAGGCCAGGATCCCGTGCAGGGAGTGGGGGCACCACCCTCAGAGGCCAGGGCGGGAGGGAGGCCGATGTAGAGGAAGCGTACCAACCTGGCCTGCGGCTTGTAGCTGTTGAGGATCTGATAGGCCCTGAGGAGATCCAGCTTGCCATGGCCCTGCTCAAACATATTCACACCAGGAAGCCTCCGGGCGGACGCAATGAGCGCCTGCTTCATGCTGGCCGGGTTCACCAGTTCACGCTTCTGCACTGTGCTGGAGAGAAAATCACGGATTTGCTCATTACCTCTCGGTGGAAGGAGGAAAATTGGACTATCCCTGTGGACGCGCAGACCTGTGACCTCCGATCTGGCGTCACATCTCCCGGGGGCTGCTCCGGTCAAGCCCAAGCAGGCTTAGAAGGAACGTGCCATTTTTGCACCTGTCTCAGGACGACTTCTTAGCCACGTGACTCAGGGAGCTTCTGCCTGTTTGTACTGAGTCTATTAGAAACACTTATTTTCCTAGTGACGTGACTCAACAGACCGCAGAGGCGGCAGGAGGCAGAAGAGGTCAGAGCGCCTGGCTCCTGAGGGGCAGGGAAGCCGGCTGGCAGAAGGAAGTGGACCAGCCGCGACAGCACCCTGCAGCGGAAGGAGCGGACACCAGACGGGGCCGCGGAGGACCTCCCGTTGGGACAGGCGAGAGCCACAGGGCCAAGTGACCCCCACGGCCTCCACCTGCTGCGCCGCCTCCCTGCGGGGAAGGGCCAACAGCACGCACACGCCTGGGCCGCAGCCCCATCAGAACGCACCGGACAAACGAACACACGGCTCTACCTGGCCAGGAGGCCCGGGATGCGCAGGTGCCATCGGCGCTGGAGAATGCCAGCACAAACACGCAGTTTCTCTGTGCTCACAAATCATAAATGCAAGTGTCAACCCCTCAACGTGGGGAACAAAACCCAGAAAATGAAAAAGAGACACAGACTCTGCACAGGTCCCGAGTATCTATGAGTGTGGCTGGTCTTGGAAGGGTGCGCGGGGTTTCCACTCGTCTGGGTGGGCCATCCAGTGTCAGGGGAGGCCGAGGTGGTCCAGCGGGACTGAGACCAGAAGAGCCACCAGGAGCTTGGCCACAGCCGCACACGCCCACCCCCGCGCCGACAGGCCAGACCAAAGGCCAGGCCCGGCCTCCTCAGGAGGGCTGCCAGGCTGGAGGCGAGCAGACTCGCCCTGGGCGCACTTCTGAGCTGCAGGGAGACAGGAAGGTCAAAGCCTTCCATGACACTGGAAGCAGCTGTACTTAGAGAAGCTCCTGGAAACGAAAGCCTCCTCTCCTCCCCGCTCGCCCAATGGGGAGAGGTCCACTGGGCTCAGGAGTGCAGCTGAACCTCAGCCCGGCCCACAGTCACAGTCGGTGGGGAAGGAGCCAGGGTCTCTGTGCCCTGTAAGCAAGAGCGTAGCTGAACCCTAGTCGAGCGTGCTCCCCCCTGCTCCCGAGTATGAAAGCCTGTGTGCGCCAGGCGACTCCACGTTCTGCGGGCCCTCGCCGCCGCCTCTCCACACAGAACATGGGGTAAGGAAAACTAATGGAAGAAAAAAGACAGGGTTCTTCTCCAGAGACCACCCCAGCCAGGGTCTGTATTTTCAAGACTATGGCTCTGAACACTAAGGGAAGGATGGGAAAAGGAGGACAGAGATAGACAGCTACCTTTATCAAAGATTACTAATTAAAAAACAGCCCAGGCCTCAGAAGCTAAAATCAACATAAACTTACTTGCTTTAAAAAAGAACTTCAGATATAAAAACATCTACTATCATTTCCCTCTTACTTTTAAAATTAACACGGACTACATTAACTTTCCACTACACGAGTTTATGTGAGCCCAACACAAAAGCTCAACCGACACCTCACCCCAGTAGAGAGCGATTTGGGGGAAAACACCAAACGAGCACGAACTCCGAAGACCTCTCTGTAACCTTCGGACTGAGGCACACGGCCCATCCAACTAAGTCACAGCCCGTGAGCGTCACTTCTGGCCAAATGCCTCTGAGAACATCCTCCAACCTCACTCTCTGCAGAAGTAAGGGCCAGTCACCAAGCTCTGTTCCAAGCGTACAAGGGATTCAATGAGACGGACTGATAAATTACACTGAGACGGTCCGTCCCGCAACCTGACCACAGCTCCGCGGCTAAGAGAGCACACGAAAAGGGGACTCCCTAAGGAAATGAAAAAAGGGGACTCCCTAAGGAAATGAAGAAAGGGGACTCCCTAAGGAAAGGAAGGAAAACATCAGACTTTTTGTGCCCTGCCTGATATACACACTTGCTTGGACTTAACAACTATAGCACAAAATCGGCATGTTAAACAAAATAAAATGGAGGCACAGGGTCCATGGCGAATCCCACACCTTCCTCAATATTGCTGTGAACTATAACCGCTTTTTATTTAAAAAGCTTTATTTGAGACAGAAAGAGAGCGCGCGCACACGCATGAATTGGGGGGTGGTCAGGGGGAGGAGCAGACTCCCCGCGGAGCAGGGAGCCTGAGGACACGCGGCTCAATGCAGGACCCTGAGATCATGACCCAAGCTGAAAGCACCCCTTAAACAACGGACTCTTTAAGGGGCCTCTGGGTGGCTCAGCCGGTTAAGCCCCTGCCCCTTGATTTCGGCTCAGGTCATCATCACAGGGTCCTGAGAACAAGGCCCGGGTCAGGCTCTGTGCCAAGCATGGAACCTGCTTAGGATTCTCTCTTTTCCTCTCCCTCTGCCTCTCCCCCCAACTCAAATAAATAAATCTTTTTTTTTTTTTTTTTTTTTTTTTTTAGGTATTTACCATAAACCAACTGGAACAAAAGCAGACACTGGAACCGTGGCAGGTACTGTCCCCTCACATAGTGCTTTCCAGCCAGAGTCAGCATGTGCTCACGCACGCAAATCCCCCGCACACGAGACGGGGTGGAGGCGCGCAGAGGGAGGGAGCGAGGTTCCCGGCACGCTCCTCGACCCTCCTGCCTGATTGGGGACAAGCAGGACCCAGGTCCCGGTCCGCGGGCACCACATCCTCTCTGCTGAGTGGCACTCACCTCACCAGCAAGGTGACGGCGCCGGCGACCACCGGAGAAGCCACGCTGGTCCCTGACAGGGCCCGGCAGCCCCCCTTCACACCGGAGCCCCTCACTCCAGCACCATAGGTGACGATATCGGGCTTCACGCGGCCATAGCCTCCCGGGAGTTCCTACGGAGGAGAGAAGCTTGGTTACCCCCAAAACACAGCGCTGGCACGCGGCTACCGCAGTTCGGGGAGGACACGGGTATTTCCACACGACGTAACCTTAGCCATGCACTGGTTTTATCTGAAATTCACCACGCTAGAACTCACGCTAAAATGGCCATATAGAAAATGAAATTATTTGGGGTGTGCTTTATAATAGCCAGTATAAGAGTAATGCCACAAAGCAACTGAAAGTGAGTATCTAAAAGACCAGAACCTGGAGATTGCTCTAAGGAATTTATGCGTTAGAATTACATTAAAAATATCAGAAAATTAGAATTAAAAATTAAGGAAAAGTGTTTCTTTACAAGGAAAGGATAACACGACACAGCTAGAGATTTCAGTCCGTCTGTCAGCAGAGGGGAAAGAAAACACCCAGAATGATAAACGTAACTGCACGAGCAACAAGATTTTGACTGAGTTCTCGCTCTTTTTTAAAAATTTTTATTTACTTGACAGAGATCACAAGCAGGCAGAGAGGCAGGCAGAGAGAGAGGAGGAAGCAGGCTCCCCGCTGAGCAGAGAGCCCGATGCGGGGCTCGATCCCAGGACCCTGAGATCATGACCTGGGCTGAAGGCAGAGGCTTATTAGCCCGCTGAGCCACCCAGGCGCCCCCAACAGAGTACTCTCTTAAGTGTCCCGGAAACTGAGGCAAAACGAGATTGACAAGATCTTACACTGTGTCAGAAAGAAGCACGCCAGTCTGAACTGAGCGAGTATTTCCCGGCTCTCAAACATGACTAGGTATGGGATGCAGACTCAGCGTGGGGCACCGCGTGAAGGTGCCTTCCAGACCAAGCAGCTCAAAATGCCGCCACAGCACAAGGCCCTGGTGAAGGCCAAGGACACGAACCGTGAATCAGAGCACCAGGAGGGGCAGACGGGAGTACCCGAGCGCTACCCACGAGCAGCTCCGCTCTGGGGGTGAAGGAGGACGACTCAGCGGCACCATGAACCCCAAGGAGCCCAAATGATGAATGTGCTGGCGCTACTCCAGCTAAACAGGACTATCTCCAGGGCAGCAGAGCTGAGGAAGAGCTGTTCTCACTGGCCGCTCCGGCCTCCTAAGACAAGAAATATCCTCTTCCCCAGCATGGAGGAAGGACTGCTCACCTTCACCTGTGCGCCACGATGAGACGGCAGATGTCCATGGCGCCCGATCGCTCATCCTGGTGGCCAGGCGAGCCCCCGCAGCCCCGGCCCCTCCCCAGCTCTCCTCCACAGGCACACCTATATGCACACCCACAGCTCGGACACACACGTCCTGTGCAGCACATCCTGCTAGTGAAGAAAAGCCTACCCAGGTAGTCATGCCCCTCGAAGAGAAGCGGGCGATGTTGTCCTCAAAGTCAATGCCGCCCACTCCAATCACATCCATCTGGTCAGCAGGGTTGTTCAGCGTGCTAGAGCAAGGCACAAAAACACAAGGGAAGAGAAGTCAGTTTACATGAGTAATTCAGGGGGTGCCTGGGTGGCTCCATCGACTAAGCATGTGACTAGTGATTTCGGCTCAGGTCAGGATCGCAGGGTCCCGAGATCGAGCCCCGGGTCAGACTCTGCACTGAGCACAGTCAGCTCCTCTCCCATGGCTCCTCACCCAGCTCCCCGTCTCTCTCTCATAAATAAAATCTTTAAAAAAAAAAAAAAAAAAAAAGGGTAATTCAGGTAAGGGCCAATACTCCCAGAGAAACCCGAGATGGCATTAGGTTCTCATATGGCTCCTCATAGCTGTCCAAAGGCCACGCTCTCTGCTGCCCACACACCGGGCTAAGGCTGTTATCTCGTACGTGGAGCACCTCCTCGTTTTCTCCCAAGACACTCTTCTCCATCGTGCTTCCAGGCCCAGAGTCCTCTCTCCGAATGGCAAGAGTCCATGAGCCCACGACAGTCACCCGCTCACATGCTCTCATATCACTCGCACACCGCGCCCAGGGCACGCCCGCCGCCCCCACGAGATCGCACACTTCTCTGGGAAGCAGCGACAGCCACACACTGGCACCTGCCACCGCCATGAAGTCAGGGTTCTCAACTGGCCTGCCTCAGGGCAGACAGAGGACCGACCCCTCCACCCTCCTCGGGACCCCTCACGGCGCGGACATAAAGAAGGACCATGCGATTCTCCTCGATACCTCAAGTGGGCTGGATCTGCGCAGGAATCACAGTGGAGCGAATCACAACAAAAGGTTTTAATTCTAAAGACAAGAGGTTAAGATAAAAGCGAACTGCTGGAAAGTACCAGTTTTAATGCGTGAAACTCCATTTCTGAACTTAACCTGCTACAGCTCCATCACCCAAACCGGAACTGTGACAATTCAATAACCACAAGTGACTCGCAGGGGCGGAAGGGGTTCTAGAAGCAAGACTCCGGGGCATGTGCTTTCACCCAACTATTATGAAGCACCAGGACTCAATCCCGGCATGGCCTTCTTAGCTCACCGGCCACCGACCACTGACATGCTCCCAGCGGGTTGCTCAGAGGCCCCAACGGGGATTTTTTTATTGGCTTGTGACAAAAATGAAGTCCAAGTGTGCCAAGGGTGCAGGACACCGAGGGGGGCTGGCAGGCGGGGCATCTGTGGGGATGCATTACTTGCAGAGGCGCGGGCAGAGCCCCGCCTGTGACAGACAACAGCTCTCTGAGCACAGCCCCGTCCTCCGCCGAGCGCCCCGACGCCCAAGCAGGAAAGCATCACAGCGCGGGCCCGGGCCTTTCCCAGCACGAGCCCCATGCGGCTCCACAAGTGACACGGGAGTCTGACGCAGGGCCCTTTCCAGGGTGCTCCTCTGATACACGGGAAATGCACAACTCTTGGCCTGTAAGAGTATGACAGCCCACCGAAGTCACAGGATTTCAGAAGAGTGACCAGCGTGGGGCAGAGCAGTCAGATGGCGCGTGCAGAGCTGGCGAGAGGGGTGCGGACAGACGGAAAGACAAGCGAGGAGGCTGAGCTGCAAGAACAGGTGATGGGGGCAGATGAATGGGGCTACTGCAGGGAGACCCAGGAGGGGACCAGGCCTGGGGAGTGCGCAGGGGGCCCGGGGGGCTGAGCAGACCTAGCACCTGCAGGCTCCAGTTCCCCGACCGGGGCTGCAGACCCGAGCGGGCCCACCGTCTGTCCGTGCGCGTCACGTTTCCCTGGAACAGCCACGCCCACTCGTCCACACACATCCAGGGCCGCTTTCCCGTTACAGGGGCGGGTGGGCGCTGACAGTGAGCTCCGCACGGCCTGCAAACCCTCAAGTATTTACTATGCGAGCCTTCACAGGAAAGATTTGCCAGTTCCAGGATAGAGTAGTGAGGACCTTAAAAAACAACAGAAAAGTGTATCTGATTAGGCAATGATGACCTACAGCAGAGTCTTAAATAAGAAAATTGCCAGAACGTGTCTGAGAAGAACAGAAAACAAGGAACAAGACCAGCCACCACTTCCAAGGGCTCAGTATTGGCAGAGCCTTCCCTGCAGGTCGAAGGTGTCCCTCACAAGCGCCCCTCGCAAGAGCCACCCAGGGTGGCCTCACGCCCACCGCGACGGACAGAGAGGCCGAGGCCCAGCGACGAGAGGGCCCCACGGCCTGCGCTCTTCCCACAGTAGTGACCTTACACTGTCCAGGCAGGGAGACAGGCTGGAAAGCGGATGGACAGTCTGGGGACTCTGGAGTGAGGGGGACCAGAAATGGGAGAAGCGGCCGAGGAGAGAAACACGATAGGGGCAACGAGACAACCGGAGGGGACTACGCAGTACCGGGGCGTCCCACAGTGGAGCCGGACACACATGGCAGGCGACACAGCAAACCAGGACCGGGGGCCCTTCCAAGGAGACAGGACCACCAACAACAATCAGGCTGGAACCACGGCTGCCGGCACGTACAGCCCCTGACCTGTACCAACAATCATCTCCCAGAGCCGGGCCCTGCGCCCGGGGCCCCTCGCGTCAGTGCGCCAGTCCTCGGGACCCCGGCGTGCACGCCCGGAGGTGTCGGCGCACGGTGCAGGGAGCGACTGGGAGGGCACACGCACGCGCACACACGCTCGCCTCTCCCCACTGGGCTGCAGAGCAGTGGGCGCACTCTGTTTTCTTCCGCCCCCATGGCCACCTCACCCCGTCACGGCACCAAACCGCACACGGGAGGACGACCCACAAGGAGGCCGGTATTTCAGCACGAGAGAGGACTTACACGTGTCGCCTGCAGGAAAATAGGAGCCGGATGTGAAAGACTCGACAAGAACTCAGGGCCTGGACCACAGTGACCGATGTTCCGCATCTCACGCTGCGTTAGTTCACAGCGACCCAGCACAAAGGGGCATTTCTGGGACAGTGTTCTCTCTGCCTCCCTCCGTGTGACCCCACTCGTCAACCCGCAGACGCTGGCCGGGTCTGCATCGCGACCCACACTCTCCCTCTCCGCCAGCTCTGTGGCGGCTGCGCCCGGTCCTTCCCAAGACGACAGGCCCCTCGTCCCGTCTACCTTCTCATGCCCGGGCTTTGCACAGAGCAGGTCTCCATAAATACCGTGCAATCCACTAGTTTCTAGCAGGTTTACTTCCCTGACTGATTTTAGGAAAAAAAAAGTAGAGTAAAAACTGCAGGACTCCAAACTGCTAACAGCAAACAAGAAAATAATAAATAAAAAATTAAACAAAAAGAGGCCAGCCTGAGCTGACCCAGGAGGCGGTGGGCACTGGCTCATTTCACAGCCTGGCCGGTTGTGCAGGGAACGTCCCCGTGATACAGTTCGAGACAGATACAAAAAGGAAAAAACAGAGACAGACGAACAACAGATCTGGAGTTCTTTCGGGGGAAACACCTCCAAGTCATCGCTGGGGGAGTACTTACCCATAAAGAGGCCCGTCATTGCCAATAGCAGAAACCATTATCACGTTGTTAGCCGTTAACTCCCACACCTACGGGATTAGCAGACATTTATTTAGTAAGCAGGCCAGTCTCGATCAGCACACAACTGTCCAAACTGTCCTCCTCAAGGAAGAAGGCTGACCTTAAAAATGTAACTCTAGACCCCCATGGACATGGACGTTTGCCAACCAGCACGTGCGTGAGCGCTGACGAGACCCAGGGCACGGGGCCTTCCGCCACACAGAGCAGAGCCCGCTCTCCGGGCAGGCTCAGGAACGCGCCGTTCGGAGAAGGAACCGAGCCGGCAGGTGTGCCGCTCCCACTGCAAGTTGCCAAAGCTCGCGCCACCACCCGCCGTCCTCACGAGGCAGGCACACTGTGGGTGACAGGCCACCAGCGCACCAGAGATAAAGCGCTCAGAGCAGAAGCTGTCACCAGGCACCACCGTCCTTCATGCGGGGACACAACCAACCTTGTCGACGAAGGGGTGGTCCATGAAGTCGGGGCCGCCGATGCTGAGGTTCAGCACATCCATCTTCTTCAGGATGGCGTAATTGAAGGCGTCCAGGAACCAGGAGGTGTAGGACACCTAGTCAACCGCCAGACACGACTTTAGGGGTTTTAGTGGAAGTCTCCAAGGGCGACAACAGAGTTTGTTTCGAAGTGTCCCTACAGACCCTTAAGCAGCATGACGTATTAACTTCAATGTCAGAAACGAAAACCAAGAACAAATGATGCTCCAAAATGTGAAGCAGACACCGGAAATTCTAGGTCCCGGCAGCCGGACTCCAGGGACAGCTGTGCTGTGGGGGCGGCCGCGCTCTCCCAGCCAGCCGTCCAGCGCCTCACCCTCCAGTACACCTTCCAGGGTGAGCTGAACCCCACAGCTCTCAGTGCCTCCTTGAAAGGACTTATCACAAGATACGTCCCTTTCGTCTGAGCATTTCTACACAGTTTAATGGACTCGTCTAATGTTCCTCATTCCTAACCAGACTGGAGGGGAAACGGCATCAATCAAAGTTACCTCACAGAATTATTTCTCGGACAGAGCTGAATCGCCTTGTGTACCACCACTCAAGACATTTTTATAAAAAATACAATTAAACTTACAGTAGAAATGGGATTAATGCAATATTTAAGAATTATGTTTCTTAAAGGCTTTCATAAATAAGACCGGTTTATATTTGCTCATATAGGCAAACACAGGAGGCGGGAGTACAAGAAATTAAGAAACCATCACATGGGAGACACGAGGAAGTAAGGTAAGCCCCTGCTGGACAGGGACAGCATTGCGGGAATTTTCCCTGCATTGTCTTTAGATATTTCTGAACTGTGCACAATCTGTACAAAATTAAATTTAAAAAATAAGGAACAGGGTCCTCCCCTTTTCTATGACTAGTTCTGAAAAGCACAGGGACAGCGCCGGGACCCCACAGGACCCAACGTGACACCAAATGGTACAGAGGCAGCCTCGAGCCCGTCACAGCCCAGGAGGGGCAACAACCACACCAACTCGTGATTCCTCCCTCGTGTGAAAGCACCAGAACCGTGTCCATGACGTGGGGGCGCAGGAGCCCCGGGCAGGCCCGGAGAACAGGAAGGAAGGAGACACAGGGAGTCCCTCCTGTTCAGTGCCCTTGGGGTGGGGTCTTCAGGATCCAAGTGAGGCCAATGAAGGGGGGTGGGCAGCGAAGGGGCGAAGCCACACAGGGGCTACGGAGGGACAGTGTGGCACATGCAGGATGCCAGAAGCAGCTCAGCATCGAGGAGGTGTGCTGCTTCTAAATGAACAGGTTCCCCCAAGTTTCATTTATGTTCTGATGTCAACTCCGTAAGCCTTGGGGGTCCTCAAAACACCTACCTGGTTATTGGTAAAGACCCTGAAAATATGGAGTTCCGCATCTGGAGCAAAGCCTTGGCACTCCCGCATGCTGGCTATCACACCTGCCACGAAGGTGCCGTGGCCCAGCCCTGCAGACCACAAGGAGAAAAGTCCCAGAACACGGCTGATACTGGGTGTGAAACCCAGCTGAAAAAGGCCACCAACTCAAAAGACGCCCTTCTCTGAGCCGCAGACGAAGAGGCTGCACTGCCCCGGAATGCTCCCCCAGCCGGGGCCCACGCCCTGGCTGCCCCGATTCTGGGCCTCGCACCCCCACCGCCACCCAAACTGGGAGGTCCGTGCGCCTCCACCAGGCAGCCCTCTTGCCTCCGACACTACTTCCTGACGTCCCAGGACAGTCCGACAAACTTCTGCCCAAAGGCACATGAACAACATGGGTCTGTCTCGGTAACGGCTACCCACGACTGTGTCGTCACAGGCATCCAGAAAACCGCACTCTTAACCCATACAACCGGGGACAGGAGCAAGGGTCAGAGACCAGGTCACACCACAGCAGTGCCACCCACCGTCATCCAGCGTCCGCTCATTGGTCCAGTTGGTTCTCTCCTTCACATTTTTGAAGTGGGGGTGCTTCTCACTCAGCCCAGTGTCAAAAACAGCAACCCTTACGTTAGCACCTTATTCCGAAAAATACAACCAAGCACAATCATGTTTAGAAAAATCACCTTTGTGGATCTTGTCTATAAAAAACAGTCCTGAGGGTGACTGGGTGATGGACACTGGGGAGGGTGCGTGCTATGGTGAGTGCTGTGAATTGTGTGAGCCTGAGGATGCACAGACCTGTACCCCTGAGGCAAATAATACATTATATGTTAATAAAAATAATTTTTAAAAAACACGCATGTTCCTCCTTGGGACCTGTCACAGAAGCCAGAGACCACCCAACGTCTGCGCATTAGGTCAGGTGCCCCATGGGCCCTGGCTGAGCCAAGACGAGAAGGGGAGACTGGGAGAGATGCCATCACGTGCTGCTAAGTGAGACTCGAGGTTTCAGGGGAAATCTCTTGGCCCATCCCTCCACTGTCACCAGGGCTCAGTCCTCCACACGAAGGAAGCAGAAGTCTCTGCTTCTGATGACTTCCCCGGGTCTCCCTCCCCTCATCTCCTTAGAGAGGCACTATGGAACGAGGGGCACCAAGTAAGAGCACACCCTCGGGGGACAGGAGACGATTCCCGTGCCTCCCCTCAGACACTGCTCATTAACCCCCTCTGCACACGGGGCTGCCAGCGACACGCGGGGCTGAGGGCACAGTAAGGAAAACCACTACGCGGTACACCTCGCTATAACAAGGAGCCTATTTCAGATACGGGCCAAAAGGTACATGCACCAGTGTTAAGACTGATATTGCCAGATGAGGAAATTCTAGAAAACAGGTAGAAAAACCTAAGACACTCGTATTGTTTAACAGCTAACAGGTGTCATAGAGGTGGGGTCTTTCTGGTGTGAGAGCTGTGCTGACATGTCCATACTATGTTAAACCATCAATTACACTGAGAGAACTAGCAAAACATACTGCTTACATTTAAATAATGCACATGACCTCAAAAACCACTTGGTTTGGGGGGACAGAAAACACTTTTCTGTTTAGAGAATTTGCTTTGTGAAGAGTTCTCATCCTGAAGAGATAAAACCACGAGGTGACAATCGTTTTACTGAAACTCCAGTCCACCAGGCCTGAAGAGTTAAACGGTCTCAGATCCACTGCAGGGCAGGGGCTGGGGGAATCAAGGGAGAGGTCAGGGTCTCCAAGGCTAGAGGACACAGGTGAGGACGCCAAGACCAGCTGAGATGGGGGGGGAAGGGGAGCTAGAGGGGGCTTCCATTTGAGCGGGGGTTCAAACCTTCACAGTTAGTTATGACAGCGATTTTCTGCCGTGATGCACGGGAGAAATACTGTAGTGGCTGTTCTATTTCCTAGGATATGGTCACTAATGCCATCTCTTGCTTTGAAACTAAGCAACGGGTGCACGGACTATAACTCAGCCACTCTGCACAGAGCTCCACTCTCAAGGGATAAGTTCATTTTCATGTTATCCCTTCACAATAACCATGTTTGCACTGGATCTCATTCCCTGAACAGCTGCTGTGCGTTCACCTGCACGTCAACAGGAGAGAAATGCTCCACCATCTACCCCCAACCTCAGAAATGGTACAGAAACACACCGAAGGAACAGAGGATTCAACGACCTAAAAAGGCAGAGCCAGATGCCCAGCACAGCAGAGGTCAAAGGCAGGGCTGCCGGACGTGTGTGACTCCACACACAGTGGAAGGGCCGAGGCCCGAGGCTGTGGCTGCGCCAGGTGCCTGAGACGGAGGGCGCGCTGGCCACCAGCCCCACTCGGGTCCCGGGCGAACAGCACACACCTGTGTAGCCCATCTGCCAGAGCACGTCCGCCTGCAGGGTCTGGGCGACCTGGCGCGGGATGGCTCTCAGCAGCCGTCTACTCGAGTGTCTCCCTGTAGCGTGCCAAAACCCAGAGCCCAGGGAGAGACTGGCTCTTCGCAGCGGGCGCGACGACTGCCACTTCTGGCTCCACCGGGTTTCGTTACAGGGTGCGACGGGGTCAGCTAGAGCCAAGGAGAGAGAGAGATGAGACGCGGAGCGGCACGGGGACAGCCCGAGCCGGTGGGGAGAACACCCACTCTGAGAAGGGCGGCGACCAGCCCTGAAAGCCCAGGTGACCAGAGGGGGAGTCCTCTACCCCCACCAGAGGGCTTTCTCCATGCAGTCACACCCACAGGACATCACTTAGCTGACATCATTGTTCCCCAAGAGTCCTCTACTTGGCCTTTTCTAACTGGCGGAAGGCAGACTGGCAAACCGCTGCGTTGAAACAAATAGCCAGCCGTGGCTGCAGCTGAAGGACCCAGAAATTCCCGAGCTTTCGTGCAACTTGCTCTCCCTGGGCCAGAAGGGTTGAAGACAACGACGACAACAACAAAACAACAAGGAAGCGAACGGCCCCCCGCGATGGCGAAGCTTCTCAGCACTGGGCTCCTGGCACAGGAGGAGGGGCCCGTGTTAAGCCACCACACCTGTCTCTGGTCTGACAGCAGCGGGACCTTCTGCCAACCGCGCACTGCTCGCTACTCTCAACACGCCGCCTACAGTGTCCCCGTTCCAAAGCAGATGCGCTAGAAAAGGAGTTGGGGGTTCGCAAGGCGACGAACCGTGTCTCCTCTCGATCCTGCAGGCGAACCAGCCCTGTGCGCATCAGCACCCGCCCCGTGGCACTGAGTCCACGGGTTCCGCTATCTGTAAGGACCCTACTTGGTGAAAAAATGGAAGAAAAAAGCAAAAGAACCGCCACAGGAGGGGTCCTTACCTTTCAGGACCGTGCTATCATGCGAAAACCTGCATCTCAGATCGGCTTTCAGCAGAACACAGCTATGCTGCTGCGACTGACATTGTGTCTCTAGAGCTAATGCCTACCGTGCCGTCCAGTCTTACCAGGCTCCCCACGAAAGGGTACAGGGACCTGGGAAAACATGTAGTTGTGTCAACTCCATTAAGTAATTATTTGCACAGACCAACTGAAATTATTCTGCACTGAACTCGCCGTGTTGACTCTGCTCTTTAAGTCAACAGTGTGGAGGGGTGGGGGGGGGGCGCCTGAGTGGCTCAGTGGGTTGAGCCTCTGCCTTCGCTCAGGTCATGGTCTTGGGGTCCTGGGATCAAGCCCCATGTCGGGTTCTCTGCTCGGTGGGGAGCCTGCTTCCTCCTCTCTCCCTCTGCCTGCCTCTGCCTATTTATGAACTCTCTCTGTCTAATAAAAAAAAAAGTCAACAGTGGGGGACAATACTGGAGGTGTTGACGGAAGACGGGTGTTGATAGCACACGAGGATCTGCTCTGTCGGCATGAGGCGGACCAGACTACACCTGAGTAATGAACTTGGCTCTGTAAGAGCAATTCAGAGAGCCTGGAGAGTACTGGAAGGAAAGCAGTTAAAATGGTAAGAGGGATTGAACCCGTGTCAGGTGAGGGACAAGCTGAAGGATCTGGAGAGGAGAATCCATCAAGGACACCACAGATATCTTGAAAATATCTTTAAACACTGTCTTGCGGCAAACAGGTTGGCTCTGTCTTCCAGCCCATGGATAGGGCCAGGGACGGGAGCCAGGGTGGGACAGGCTCCAGCTAAAATAAAGCAGAGCCTGCTCACAACACAGCCAGAGAAACAAGCAGTATTTAACGTCTATTTACATCCTAAAAACTCTGCTAAGCTCTCACACTTGCACTATTTTATTTCATCTTCGTGAGAACCCTTGGAGGTAGGTAGCATTATCTCCCATTTTTGGACAGGAAAAGCTGGAGCCCACAGGAAAGCGGCTCACCACGCGAGGCAGCAGATGGCGACAAGGCCGACTGGGACTGCCAGCAGCGCAGCACGGCCTCAGGGGGCGTCAAGCTCTGTGTCTGACAATCATGGCGGAGAAGCAGAGAAAGGAACCCGGCCCTGAGAGGCCAGGACTGCTCTGCTAAAGTCAGGCATTTCCGTGCTTCTTACAATGTCCTGGGGCTCTTTATGGTAAAAAAGTAAAACAGAAAAGCTCATGTAAGCCACTTATCTGGCTAAGTGGACAAGGTCTGGTTTGCTTTTACTTACTGGATTGCTCTGAGGCTACTGCTTTTCAAAGAGAAAAAGCATCACACAACATCTGGCCTGGCACAAAGCGCTGAGGAAGCCGGACAGCTGACCTCTGGGGCGCCCGAGAGCTGGCTTGTCCCACTATGCAAATTCACGCGGCTTCCCCCTGTCCCTTCCTGAACCTCAGGCTCTCATGCCTACTACCTGACAGACAAAGGGAGAAAAAGAGAACTTTCCTTCTCTTTCCTCCAGGGAAATAAATGACAGTAAATGATAACAGAGCTGGCAATCTGTTACCCTACTTTATCACAAATGGGAAAAAAGCCCTTTTTTTGGTAGTAAATATGCTTCAGAAAATGTTAAGTAATAAATATGTAATTTATTATTTAAGGGTAAGCTCTACCCTGACGAGCCCAAGCTGTATAGAAGCGGGACAGAATAAGCCCTGGGGCTGAAAGGAGAATCATCAAGTTCCCTCCGTCCTCACCCCTGCGCAGCCTGCGACTGAAACAGGCCGCGCCGCCGTGCGTGGAGAGAAGGCTCTCAGAAAAACAAAACGAACCCCACGGAAAGGGTGTTTTCCGAGACGCCTTAAAACTAAAAACACACACTGACAAGCACAGCGCAACCAAGAGGGAGACCCGAAGACACGCCTTTCACTTGGGGATGTACGGGGCGCAGGGGACTCCAGGCTCCGGCTGGGCACCGGCCGACACGAGCATCACCATCGTCCTCCTGCAAACCTGCAGATTTTTTTCCCACCAAACAGCAGGACATCTGTTTCTAGTGTTTCAGATGCCTGGCAAGAAAATGTTCACCACGGACGAAACTGGATGAAGGGACTCGGGGCCTTCCTGGACCACTCTGGCCGGCCCACAGGACACGCACACTCTGTCCCCGCGCCGCAGCTGAGCACGGGCCGCAGCAGATGCGGCCGCGCGGAGCCCAAGCCCACGGTACTCACACTCCGCGTACTTGAGCGAACGGAAGACTTTGCGCTGGGGCGTCACCCGTTTGATGTTGGGATGGTCTTCAAGGGTCAGCAGCCCCGCTTTCTGTTTCTCTTTGATCTGAATCACCTCAAAATCACTAGGGTAGTCACTGGATGGGTTGTTTCGAGGAATGATTCTCCAGTTGTCTATTTCACTGCTCTTCAGGGCACTTGAAATAAAAGAATTTCTAGCTTTGGCTGTAAAGTATCCATTGAAAGCCACGATGTATTCTGAAATCAATGACCACAAATAAAAATAAGAATTTATGTCCCTGTATTGTTACGTAAGAGTGCACCTACTCTCAGAGTTCCCTGGCAAAAGAAAACCTACAGATCCTAAAACTGACAGTAGGAGGAGCAGTAAACCAAGACTGGTCTAAATGCCCTACAGAGCAGTCCTCCAGGCTCTGAGGTCAAGCGATCTGTATGAGCCCCCGATCACAGAATCCACCCCTTAATATCAGATCCCTGTGCTGTTTTTCAAAAAGCAAAGATCAAGAGAATTCTGAATATATGGCAAAGAAACGCGTGTAACTTTTTCAAACAGGAGAAAGGGATTCGGAAGGAAAGGCTCGGTTTTATTTTCCTGAGCATTTGGCATCTCCCAACTCCCCACCCTCAGCGGCTACAATGGCACCTGTTCCGCAGAGTCAGGTTTTAGGGAAGAAATTCCCAGTGCCAATGTATCCCGGGAAAGCCAACTTCAGCAGAGAGAACATCTAAGTACTGTGCACTCACCTCATGTCAAATCATAGAAAAGAGGGAAATGACTTTTTTGGCAAAAGCTAATTATTTAGAGTTAAGTTTTTTTTTTTTAAATGGGGAGGGGACTAAAATAGTATCATTACCATATTCCACAACCGTTGAGGAGAATTCCACCTTCAACGTCAGGTGGGAACAGCCAGGGCACGGGGCCTTTTCGAAAGACTTCTTCTCCAACCTGTCCCCCAGATGTTTCCTCCCGCAGAGCAAAACCACGAGCAGAAGCAGCCAGATGTTCACAAGCTTCATGGTCAAAAGTGAATATGGTCGTAAAATCACATAAATTCAAATCACACTTTTTTCTTCCTTGATTATAAGTTAATTTTTGTTTCGGCAAAAAGCTGAAACATTATTGATCAGCCATTTTACAGTCTTGTCCAACATAAAAAGAAGTTAAATTTCATGGCCTTTTGTGGTTTGGCCTGGAAAGAGGCTTTCATTTCTTTCTTCGTTTCTTCTCCATCTTGGGCCTCAGGCTCCTCTCACTCCGGCCCAGACAACTGAGTCCTCCCCTCCATCTGCAGCACAGAAGCACAGTCCGGCGCGGCGAGCAGTCACTCCGGCAGCTCTGGGCGGCCTGCGGAACGGAACGGAACAGAGCAAGCGGGCGGAGTCAGTCCCACACGCACCCAGGCCAGAGCGCCACAGAGACACGCAGGGAGGAGAGCAGACAGGGAGGGCTCGGGCACTGAACACCTTATCATTTCTTGAGTCACTCCTCACTTCTCTCGGGGGGAAAAAAAGTTTTAAGGCAGCTTCAAAACTCAGAAAGGTTAAAACAAACGAGAAAAACGAGCAAACTGAGCATAACAAACAATGCCAGGAACGCTGAGCCCCTCGCAGCCTGAGAGGGGATCTCGGTCCCACATCGTCCCTCCGCTCTGCCTCCACCTCAGACTCTCCGGTCTCACCCTGTGCAACCCTCTGTCTCCAGGGCTCTTCCCCCACAGCATTTTATTTATTTCATAAGTAGGCTCCACACAGAGCGTGAAGCCCAACGTGGGGCTTGAACTCATGACCCTGGGATCAAGACTTGAGCTGAGAGAGTTGGACACTGAACGGACGGAGCCACCCAGGCACGCAGGAACAGCAGTTTAATTCCCCATACATTTTGCCAGCTCTTCCGGCAAGAGCTTGGTAGATACATCCTCACCTTCTACCATAAAATAATTCCTAAGGACAAACTAATTTGCATCCAAGTCAAATCCTTACCACTTTCTTTCAGAGAAACTATGTTTTAAAATTATTCGAACTATTATTACCTTTCAGATTTTGAAATATTTCCTGCCAATTTTAAAACTTTTTTTTTTTTTAAGATTTTATTTATTTATTTGACAGACACAGATCACAAGTAGGCAGACAGGCAGGCAGAGAGAGAGGGAGAAGCAGGCCTTCTGCTGAGCAGAGAGCCTGATGCGGGGCTCGATCCCAGGACCCTGGGATCATGACCTGAGCTGAAGGCAGAGGCTTTAACCCACTGAGCCACCCAGGCGCCCCTCCTGCCAATTTCATGAAGAGGGCACAGAAGGATTCACGCAGTCATCCAGTGTATTTTACATGAAGCCTCACCTTAAAGGGATCTAACCTGCCAGATAGGTTGTAAAACCAGGTTACCTCTTTCTCGGAAGTAATACAAGAGAAAATGTCGTGAGGTACACCGCTGCCAAAGAAAGTGTTATCTGAGTGTTAAATTACACACGGGCACAGATACCTTTCAAGTATCTGAAAGGCAGAAAAATGATCATTCTTCACAATGAAAAACAGACCGGCAATTAAGAAAAAAATAAGAAAGAAAACGATGCCGGCTGCAGCACGTCCAGAAAGATCTGTTGCACTGATCCTACCAGAAACATAAACAACCCAGCAAGGGGAACACAATCAATTGAACAGGACAGGCCTTATACTGCTAACTTGTTTCTAAAAAGAAAACACTCGGGACCAGGAGTCAGCCTTCTTTAAACAGAGGCACGGAATTAAAACCCTTTCTTCTGGCAGCAACGGGTACTTTGGAGTAACGAGGACTTTGTGGCTTCTGGAATTATTCATCGTGCATCTATTCACAGGAAAACACTCACGGTTAGAGTTTCTAAAACAGCCTGTAGGCTACTCTCTAGGACTTCACCGCTGGAGGACCGCACAACCCTGAAGAGCCTTCTCCGGCACTAAAGGCTAAGGCGGGTGAAGGAAGCTCATCAGACGAAAACGAAATTCTAGAAGTTATTTCCGCATCAACACGAAGAACAACAATAAAAATGCCAACCACAAGAACAAAGTAATTAACACCAAAGATCAGAACAGAAAGGGTAAAGAAAGGCAACAGGGGACGCCGAAAAAGCCACTCCAACATACTTCGTGGCCATCCGCTTGGGAGCGAGCCCCAATTTTTTCGGCTTATACTTGGTATCTGCAGCAATGGCCCAACACGGCACAGAGCCACAGGAGGCACATGCGTCTGTTACAGGACGAGTGGTCAGTGAAGACAGAGCTCAGCACCGGTGAGACTTCTCATGTCATGTTACATGAACTTACAGTGCAAACGATTTAAATAGGTCTCTCAATGAAGGGAAGTTTTTAAAAAATAAATCTCTGGGGCGCCTGGGTGGCTCAGTGGTTAAAGCCTCTGCCTTCGGCTCAGGTCATGATCCCAGGGTCCTGGGATCGAGCCTCACATCGGGCTCTCTGCTCGGCAGGGAGCCTGCCTCTTCCTCCTCTCTCTCTCTGCCTGCCTCTCTGCCTACTTGTGCTCTGTCAAATAAATGAAAATCTTAAAAAAAAAAAATTATAAAAATAAATCTCTTGATCTCTCCTGCCTCGAGCTGAAGAATCTACGACATACCTGGGCTACACGTAACAAGTATTAGTGAGTGACACTAGTAAGCCCATCTTATCTAATTGTGTCAGATCAAATGCCATTAAACCTACTCTTAATTTACACAATAGACAGATACTGCACAGCGCAGCCCGTGTGGAAGCAACGGCTGGCATCCCACAATTGGGCCAGGAGACCGACTTCACAAGACAAAGAAACAGGAAGAAAAGGTTTGAGGGGTTTTAAACTTTAAAAATCCCTAAGATGGGACGCCTGGGTGGCTCAGTTGGTTGGACGACTGCCTTCGGCTCAGGTCGTGATCCCGGAGTCCCGGGATCGAGTCCCAAATCGGGCTCCCAGCTCCACGGGGAGTCTGCTTCTCTCTCTGACCTTCTCCTCGCTCATGCTCTCTCTCACTGTCTCTCTCTCAAATAAATAAACAAAATCTTTAAAAAAAAAAATCCCTAAGATAATCAGCTCTCTCCCAAAGAGAAAACTTTCTAGGTTTTCGAAAATAAGACACCGCAATATCTTAATAAGATGTTCTACCTTAATCTATGCAATTAAATTCCACAATCGTATACCGTGCTTACCAAGATCAAGGTGGGATCCGGCAAAGTGGCTGACAATGAGCGCAAACAGCTAAACAAAGAGCAGGAAGACACCGGAGAGGAGGCCGCACAGGGCCAGGATGCTGCACCAAGAGCTCCTCTGGGTGACACAGGAGCTCCTGCGGACGAGCTGGGGGGCACCTGGCAGAACCTGAGCCAGCAGAGCCGCAAGCATGGAAATGAGGAGGGAGAAGGGGAGCAGCCTGAGCGAAGCTACGTCACAGACCAGAGAAACACGGGATGTGCAAAGGATCAGCGAGTCATCGCACGAGGAAAGAGGCCACAGCGTGCCAGTCTGAGCGCGGAAAGACGGTGGGAAGCAGGCAGGGCAAGCGGATGCGGCCTCTGAGCAGCTCAGGCAGGAAGCAACGGGACTGGGGTGCGCAGAGCCGGCTGGGGCTGCTGAGCAGCTCCGCTCACCCACCCGGCTCCTTTAAGGTGCGAGTCACAGAGCCACTGAGCAGGCGGCAGGGACACAGCAGCCAACAAAACCCAACCCAAGCCTCCGAGCTCACGGCGCTGACCCAGAGTGTGTGTGTGTGTGTGTGTGTGTGTGTGTGTGTGTGCGCGCGCGCGCGCACGCGCACGCGTGCACGTGCCAGCCTGGGAGGGGGCCTCTGAGGAAGGACCCAGCGGAAGCAGGAAGCTGGCCAGGCCAGCTGCGCAGAGTACTGGCGGCACTGGGCACGGCGAGCCCAAAGGCCCGAGGCAAGGAACATGCCTGCTTTGTGTAAGGAAAGCGAAGTGGCCAGCGTGGCTGCAGCAGGGAGAGGAGGCGGAAATCAGACAAAACGGGAGATGGGACTGATGGGGAGACAAACCGGGGAGGGCCCTGTAGGTCAGAGAAAGGACCTCAGCTTTCATTCCGAACGGGAGGGAAAGCAGGATCTGAGCAGAGAAGCCACCCCAGCTGGTCCGCCCGTGAACTGGTTCACTCTGGCTTCTGTAAGGAGCCGGGCACAGGCAGACACAGGACTGGACGACTCCCATGATGACGCTGGCTCAGGCCGGGGCAGAAGGAGCAATGAAGGGGGGCACGTGACGGAGGCGACCGCAGTGAGACCATCCGCGGACAGCCAGATTGGGGGTGCGCACCCGAGGAGCCGAGGACAACACGGAGGTCTTCCGTCCAAGCACAGGCGGGCATCTGCTCCTGGCGGAGATGGAGAAGGTGCCGGGAAAGCTGGTCTGGGGAAGACGGCAGGCGCTGAGCTCTGACCATGTGGAAATCAGGGGAAGCATGAGCGCCGGGAAGGCGTGGCTCCAGGTAGAAAGGAACAGGGAGGTGGAAAAAACCCCAAAATCTGTGGGAGAGGATTTCCATGACTCATCTTGGCCAGCTGAAAGGGCCACACGCAAAAGGGTGAACAGCTGCCCGCCCCTAACTCCAAAGCCACCACAGCAGGAAGACGCCCTCGGGCGGAACAGTGCCAAGGGGCTCAGGCTGGAAGCAGCGAGACAAGGACACACCTCTCTTCGGTTTGGATATGGCTGACCCGCCTTCATTCTTTCAAGGTGAGCGAAAACCTAGGTTCTAAGAAGACATTCTTGTCAAAGACCCATGGCTCCTAAAAAATTCTGACAACAGGGGCGCCTGGGTGGCTCAGCGGGTTGAGCCTCTGCCTTCGGCCCAGGTCCTGGTCTCAGGGTCCTGGGATCGAGCCCCACGTTGAGCTCCCTGCTCGGTGGGGAGCCTGCTTCCTTCCCTCTCTCTGCCTGCCTCTCTGCCTGCTTGTGACCTCTCTGTCAAATAAATAAAAAGTCTTTAAAAAAACAAATTCTGACAACAGATACTGAGGTTTCTGGGGTTTCCCAATCCCAGAATAAGAGGGCTTCAAAATATAAATTTGCTTTTAAGAAAACAAAACTGCCACCAGGGGCACAGAGGCTGGCAAACAATGCCACCGGCCCCGAGGTTGCAGGGCCTGCCACCGCACTGCTGGCCTGTTCCCCACACACTGTCCCACAGGGGCATCAAGGGCGCAGACCGCAGCTCCCGCATCCGAAACATGGACTCTCCTGTGCCGACGAGCAGTCATCCCACCGGCTCTCACGACGCGAGGCAAACCTACGGAGCACCATCCCCGAGCTGGCCTCACCGCCTAGCCACAAGCATGGCAGCAGCTACGCGGCACATAAACACAGGCGCAGACATAC